CACATCAAGGAGAATCACTCTCACCTGGAACAAATCATCCGTTCGTGAATACAAAAATGTATTTTACTCAAAAACAAGAATATGCATTTCTCACAAAAGATGTTTCTTGAGAAAATTATTACGTATGACTATACATTAGAGCTTTTCAAACTCTACAAAATGTATAATAAAATTTTTCCGTACTTCAACGCAAGGACACAAAAACAATTCAGGCTTCTGCTTGAATGTTATTTTTCAATACATAATCACTGTAATCGTCGAATAAATCTTTTATTTCTGACTTTTCAATCAGCAGTTTCCTATAGTTTTACAGACAATATCATGCTATGCCTTTTGGAGAAAAGTTCTCTTCAAAAAGGTGAAAAAGTAGCTGACATATTAAGAAAATACTGAGCAACTCATTTATTCTATCGCATTCGAAATAACATACAAATTTGGATGCTTTGATGACATAGATAATCGGCAATTCAATGATGTTTAGAAATGAATTAAATAATTCATGTAATTCAAGGTTGAAATTAAATCAGTTTTAAATTTTGAAACCTTATAAATATCATTCATTGAAACACAAGCAATGAGTAAACTTATAAAATATGTCAATGAATTTAGTCATTCGTCAAGAAAAGAGTCAAATTTATGCTTCAACCGTTTGTCATCATTTTAAAAATTTATTGATTTTCATTTCGATATATTATTTACCAAAAAAAAAATTATCTTCATCAATAAATCAAAAGCATACGAATGTTCTTTGTTTTTCTTTTTCTCGTAATAATAAAACTCTCTACTGACATTCTTTTATTTTGAACTCATAAAAACACAATTATATATTTTATATTTACATACCGAAATCTCCCGAAAGAGCCGATGTATGATTTATGTCTCCTAAACTATCAGACGTCTCTACTGAGTTCGATCCATGATTGTTATTATGATTATTAACTAATTGATTTTGACTATTAATTGCTGTATTGGATAAAGCATGTTGTTGCCAAGTTGACATGATTATCTATAATAAATATTCAAAAATATGAAAAAGAAATTATATGATAATTACAAAATAAGAATTCAAGAACTTCAATCGTTTTATTTTTTTTGTCAAATATATTAATAAATAAACTAACCTCTTGTCGTCTCAAGATTGTTCTTGTTCTAAACATTATTCAATCGAACAGGCAAAAAAGATAATGAAGAAAAAAGAATAAACAAACGCACATATGAACCTTTTCGATGGATTATGTAAATTAAAAAAAAAGACCTACGTGATTTTGATGTCAAAAAATGTCTATATGTTTTTTATTTTTATTTTTAAGTAATATGATCAGATAGAAAAAGAGTGTGTAAAAAAGAATGAAAAGCAAATATGTTGAATAAAAATATACTCATGTTTTTCTAAAGATCATTCACTAACTCAATTTCTTGCTATTGATAAATTGATTAGTTAGGTGATGGCTTCTTCCAATTATTTAAAGTTGAGAATAAAAAAAACTAACCAAACAAATAATAAATCCTTAGATGTCACTAAAATGCAAGCTAAAAATAAGGTTCGAAACCGTTTTATTAAAGAATGAGCATTTGTATTTAAAGAAATATAGGTGCGTAATAGTCTAATTTTTATTTGATTGATTCGAAAGAAAACAATTGTTATTATGTAATGATTCTTTACGAATTCTCCAAAGACACTAATCATTTCTCTAATAGCACAAATCATTGAAGGAACAAATTCTCATATATAAACGATTGCATCGTTTTCCCTAATGTCATATATCAGAAATCAAAATAAAAAAAAGCCTAAACTCATGATTGAGTATGATTAATTAATAATCAAAAGAAAAATATGAAGCATTTATACATAAGTATTATGATTCTATGTGGTTTAATCTCTATAGATTTTTACGAGCTATGAATTTTCTTTTAATCATATATAAAATATGAGAACATGAATGGTTTTGTCTTGATAAATATTAATATGTCCTCTAAATTTCTGCAGTATTTAAAGCAGAATCGTGACAAACTAGCAAGAATTTATTGTATGACAAGGAAACTGTTCGTAGCTGTAGTTGACATCAGAAACGGAAGAAAAACATTAAAATAAATTGCATGGAGGAGATAGTAAATGCTCGTATCATGGAGCGAAGGATGCCACGCTTAATAAATTTTTAACCGCAATTAGAGGTACGATGTTGTTGTGTTTTTTTTCTCATACAACATTTGCAAGCAAGTACAAATCTTTCAAGACAATATTCAACAACAACAATGGTAAATTGTAGATAATAAAATATCATAGTAGTTTTTTTTTTAAGGTGATTAAAGTTTAGATGAAAACATGTTCTCCAAAAGATAAAAACATCAGAGTAGTGTTAAAACGCATCCTTGACAGAAAAGGAATGTCTTTAAGTATCTTTTTTTGTTCATCATTATAATGAATGTAATTTTTGGTCCGTAAGAACAAAAATACTTTACAAATAATCATTGGTAATTTTTTTTGAAATAGCTTCTGCTTATTTCTAGAAGTATATATATATACAATGGTTATGTTCAGTTGTTTCTATAAACATCTAAAATCACAGTTCTTAATGGGTATTTAATTTTTAATATTTCATTCGATGTGTTTTGATGTCAATTAAATTATATTTTCCTGAAACATTATAAAAGCATGACTAGATAGATATTCGAGGTAATTCAACATATAAATATTCTTCATTGAACTGGAAAAATAAATATAGAAACAAAATACATCAATTAAAAACAAAAACAACTAAATCGGATTAAGAGTTTTTTTTTATTTTTTTCATAATAATTTCTCTTATAGTTTATCTTTGCAAAGAATTAATATTCTTTAAAGACTTTATAAGCTGATTAAATCGGCAATAGTCAGATTTAAAAAAAGAGCAGAATAAAAACAAGATTCATTTGAAATAAATCTATGGTTTATTATTATAAGAAATCTTCACGGTCTACTTCTCAGACAAAATATGTCGAGTTAGATGACATATGAATGAAGTGATGTTGAAGAAAAAAGGCTTGATAATTGTGCACTTATTTTTATCCTTGAGATATTCTGACTAACAAGATAAGTATACTTGACAAAATTTTTTTTTTCATGTTCCTGTTGCCTCTTAATAAATACTATTCCTTTCATATGTAGAATTCTAAAAATTTATACATAAATCGACCTCTGATTTGATTAAAGAAATCAAATATTAAACAAAATAATTAACTACTATGTGCTCGAAGGCAAATATATCTCGGCGTACAATATAAGCGAACTTTATGAACGCTTGCTGCCTTATCCGGACTCGATTGACTTCCGACTAAAATATTCATTCATATTGACATATGTCGCGGCGAATGCCGATTGGTAATACGCATAGTTCTTCATGTTCTCTAACTTATATAGAAATATGTAATGGTTCAAACGATAGACATTTATGTTTTAAACAAACTAATCGGCCACTATGATCTTGAATTACACTATATATCCTATTTTTTTTCCTCAATGAAATATATTATCAAACAAAAAGGGGTTACATAAAAAATAAGAACAGGGTTAACATTTTATTATTCAACATATATAGTTTCAAACTAGTAATGGCTTATTGTCGTTAGTCTTATTCTCTCACTTGCTCATTCATACATGCATGTAGACCCCTCTCTAGAGGAATTTGATCTAAAAAAATGTGAAGAAAGCGGAAAGAAAAGAGCGACATAAACTAGAGAAACACCAGAAGAGAGTGTGAGAAATAGAAAAGGAGAAAAGAAAAGAAAAGAAATACGAGCATATGAAAATGATAATTAAAATGACAAAAGAAAAACGACAGAGTCATCTTGCTAACGCAACTATAACATGAAGAATAAGCGTAAACTAGTCAAACAAGTGTTCAATAAAAGTTTGTCTTGTCATTTTTACTTTCTTACATTAGAGTTTTTCTATGCTTTCTCTTTATTTTCAACCTCTTTTCCTAATTATGATTATTATTATTTTTTTTCTTCAATTAGAATAAATAGAGAAATAACGAACAAAGGCTTATTACAAAAAAAAGAAAATGATATATTATCCTACTCATCATATATATATTTATTAATAAATAGAATACAAATGTAATTTGACTATTTTTTATCAATATATTCTAGTCTGTTATTAGTATTTTGTGCACTATAGGGGACGACGAGTTGGCGGCCCTCCGGCGATCGAGGTTGGTTCTTTTAGAGTTTGTGGATTTGTGTTACATATTATGTTTGTTCTCTTCCTTGAAAACTTGATGTGCTCATCCCTTCGAAAGAGAAAACACTATGTTATTCTCAATTAGTAATATGACGTTTAAGTGTATGTAATATAATTATTTTATAGTTTTTTTTTTGTGTTCTGAAACTTAAATGCCAACGACTTATTTACATTTTCAAAGAAAAAAAAAACTTTTCTCGGTTAGAAACTATTTCTTTTATATATAAAGTGTGGATTCACATGAGATTTCATTTTCAGTGTACACTATAATTTTTTTCCTTGCGACATTCTTTCTTTTTTATTTATGATCAAACTGAAGTGGAAAAAGAAAAGAAAGAGAAAATCAAATAATCTAAATCTACTCAATCAAATCTGATATGGATTACATCATATCGATCTTCCTTCATTATAGAGCAAGGGCATAAAAAGCACTTGAGATTTCTTTTTTTTTTTCTTCTTCTCTTCTATTTCTTCTTTTCTTTTCTTGTTCTCTATGCCTTTCTATTGTTTCCGATTTTAGAGCATGAGTAAGTGGTAAACCAGTTTCATTATCATCATTTCTGTTAACGCGCTACTGTTTTGTATAGCTCTACTAGTCGTGCATTCGCTTATATCTAAACACATTTTATTTTGCATTTTTGTCTTTTGATTTCGACTAAGTATATAATGAAGAATTCCCAAACGAATTCTTTTCTTTTTGATCATATAAGATAGTTTAATGTGAATAAAATTTGATCCAAGTTTTTTTTTCTTTTAGATAGAAACATTTTTGTAAGATATGAGTGATTTATTTAATATACGTTCATTTGTTGGCAATCAAGTTGAAAAATTATCATCACCAAAAAATATTCTTGTTGATAAATTTCGACAAACGGTTGATCAAATTAAATTACCATTTTCAACAGCAACAGCAAGTAACAATGAACGAGGTGATGATTTAACAATAAATGAAGCATCACTTAATTTACGTCCCTCTGAATCTTCATCCAATTCATCTGTATCATCAAATGAACAAACAAATCATGCTTTGCCCATTTCACATAAATCAATAGTACGTTCAAACCAATCAACACCACCTAGTTCACAAAGAATTTCAAGTCTTCTATCATCAACATCCCCCTTATCATCACCGAAATTATTATCAAACTTTAAAACTTTAACTGATCGTTTGTCACGTCGTCAATCAATACTTCGACGTCATGTTTCTGAATCAAATCAAATTGATGAAACAATAATAAGAAATAATGATGATAAATCATTATCACAACCTATTTATCAAAATAATCCATCAACAGATATAAATCTTTCATTAAATGCTAATCATGATTTGAATACAATAACAGATGTAACAACAAAATTTTTAGGTCGATCACGTTCTCTTATACGACAATCAACTGATACAACATGTACATTTCCAATACGAAATCCAATGCGTCGTATGGAATCTATTGAAACAGTTGAAATACCTGGTTTAAATGGTGTTAAAGCTATACGTTATTTAAATGATAAGCTTGGCAAATTACAACCTGATCTTTATATTAAACAAACATCACAAAGTGATCCAACATATGGTTGTGGTAAATTAACATTTACACTTTTTTATAATCAACAATTAACATCATTAGTTGTAACTATATTATCTATTGATAATTTACCATATAGAGATTTAAATACAAAAATTTTACCAGATCCTTATATTAAACTTATTTTATTACCCGATCGAAGACGAAAATTTCAAACAAAAGTGTCTAAACGTACACAATCACCCCATTTTAATGAAACATTTCAATTTCAAATAACTTATGAAGAATTACGTCGACGAATATTATTATTATCTGTTTATGATTTTGGTCGATCAACGAAAAGAAAATTAATTGGAACAGTTAAAGTAGATGATGTAGCAGCAATGCCTGATATAACATCAAATGATATTACATGTATAAGAAGCATTGTACCGGGTACTGAGGTAAGATTTTGGCATGGCTAAAACATTTTCGATATCCGTTTTATTTTTTTTCTTCCTGATTGAACACAGAAGAAGAAAAAAGATGCCGGAAATTAACCCACGAGTATAACAAAAAAAACAACAGTAACTCATAGAAATCGAACAGGTTTTGTCGATTTTTATCGATGTGCATATCCGGCAGTAAATGTTCATTAGAAAAATAGAGAAAAGAAAGGAAGTGTCTAAATGACTTTTTTTTCAATTGAAAATTTATCAAGTAAGATTATATCAAATTGAAGTTCTATTGTCATGACCTGTATGTTCTTTTTTTATGTCAATGATCATGTTAGCATTTTTATGCGTTCTTTAAATGAAAAAACAAAGGCTATGTCAACATTCCGTTATTCAAACTATTATACTTGACATAATTGATTCGATGCGATTGTAGAGCATAGACATAGAAAAAGAAAAGAAGTTAGAGAAAAAATTTATTCGCTTGTTGTAACTACATTATATTTTTAACGGTATGAGAAATAATAATAATAATAATAATAACACTAATGTCGATAACAACATTGACGAGCAATCGGCAAGTTCGTTCATTCATTATAAAACACAAAAAATGTTCGAGGCGACGCCAATTCTATTGAGAATTGTTTGATAGAGAGAGCAACATAACATGCAATACTAATCAACCAATGTGATAGTAGATGCAAAAACAAAAAAAGTTCACGCTAGCACAATACAAGGCTTGCATACTTATTATGTTACAAAACAAGAAAAAAACATTCACACTTCATTCTTTTAAATTAAGGAAGTTGATTACATTAAGAAAAAATAATAATGAAAATCAATTTGACTATAGACTTATTTAAAATATTTTGTAAAAAAAATAAAACGCTTTCAAACAGATGTCATAATAATGTTATAAAAACAAAAGAATAAATGTACTCCTTAAGAACAAAATATAAAAATACGTGAAACATAGATATCAATCTTCGGAAGATATTTGTCAGTGCATTTCTATTACAATAGAATAAATGACGATTAAGAAATGATTATTCTTTGTTAGTTATTAAGAATCAGATTAAGAATCATGAATCTAGTGACTACGCATCGAAACGAAGTATATGTTTAAGGAAAGAAAGAATTATTTTCTTTGGCAACGTTATTTATAGTCATTTTTTAGATACACTTTTTGATTCTATGATTTATTTACTTTTCGTTATAGAGATATAATATAGTTCAACGACATGAAAATATTTCTTGTTGACTGAAATAGAAGAAAACTTTTGTTCAAATATATCATTATGAAGAATTTATCTTACAAAATAAAAAAGTTTATTTTTATGCCACTTGATCTTGCTGAAAATTAGTGTCTACTCTAAAAAGGCATACGTAATGATTTCTTTGAGAGATTTTGAGGTCTAACTTTTACTCAAAAAAAAAAAAACAAACGAACTGACCTATATTATTTCATAGATATTCTTCTTTTCTTATATAACCTATACTTATGAATTATAAATGTTTTGTACTCTTTAAACTTTTATATTTTATAAAAATAAAGTTTGTTGATTCTATATTTTCATTTTAGAGTGATCCTGATCTTGGTGAATTAACTTTATCATTATGTTATTTACCGAATGCTAAACGTGTTACAGTAACTATTGTTAAAGCAAGTGCATTAAAACCTATGGATATAACTGGTAAATCAGATCCCTATGTTAAAGTTATTTTATTAATTCATGGGAAAAAAATTCGAAAGAAAAAAACATCTGTTCAACCGAATACACTTAATCCAACATATAATGAAAGTCTTGAATTTGATGTATCAATTGAATCACTTGAAGATGCTGATCTTATATTTAAAGTAATTGATTATGATCGTGTTGGTGCAAATGAATTAATTGGTTGTGTTGGTATTGGTGCTCATTTTGATGGTATTAATTATGATCATTGGTATCAAATGTTAGAACATCCACGTGTACCAATAACTGAAAGTTACAATTTACGTGAAACCATACCAATAATAACATGTTCAAGTCCACGAACTACCCATAAAATCATAACTCCAAATAACATTTAAGAAGCAAAAAAAAAGCAAAATAATAATCATTATAATAAAAGACACGTTTTCCGGTGATTTTTTTGTACAAAAATTTTATTTTGTTTCTTCTTTTGTGTTTGATGAAAACAAAAAAAAAATTAAATAATAGAACGAAAAATTTATTTTATGAAAATTCTTCATCATAATCAATAGAATTTGATAATTGCTGTTGAGTAGTAGTAGTTGTTGTTGCTGTTGAAGTTTGATTAACAAGATTTTGTTTACTACGTTTCTTCTGTTGAATTAATAATGATGGTACTTCACTTTCATCATCTGACATTGATCGTTTTTGTGAATTATCGTTCTAGAAATAGTGAAAGAAGAAAAAATAAGTAAAAATTTAAAAACAAAAAGATTCTATCTTAAAATTTACAGGTAGTCGAGATAAGTGATGAATAAGCAAAGGCAAAGGATCATTGATAATTTCTAAATAATTTAAAAAGAAAAAGAAAAACATTATTTTACATTAATTCACTTTTAGTTATCTAAATAAAATCCCTAGATTCAATTAGATCTATTTACTAGAAGAGAAAAAATTTTCTTAGAGAACAATTGTAAATATTTACTATAAAAAAACAAGAAGAACCATACGAATAGGAAAAGATAAAATACAATAATGTCTAGGAAAGAGTTTGTCATAAAAATCTATCCACTTCATTTAACTTATCGCTTCCGATCGTAAAAGATAAGTAAATTAATATCGAGAAAAGTATTTTTGTTGTTTGCTTAACTAAAAGAAGAATCAATAGTATAACTGTTCGTTTAACTTTTTCTTAATGAGGAACAAAAGCAATAAGCTATATTTTCAACTAGATGAAGTCAAAATCTGTAATTAGCTCATTAAAAATACGTTTATAATTGTTCTATGAGTTCTGTAAAGAATGTTTACCATTCGGAATATCAGTCATTAAAAACATTTACGAGTCAATTTCATACGATTATGTTCTTTTCCCTACTTGTGACGGAGAAGACTAAAGAAAATGTCTATAATTATTTGAATGTACTTATCTTCAATCGATCGAGTACTTCGGAACATTATTTATTCAATTTTTTTACAGATCATGCAAAAAACATCCAGACTCATCCAAATTAAGCCGATGCTATAGATATTATTTATTCGATTATTAGAGAATTTCAAAAAACTAATAATCTTATAAGGGTTGATTCTCAGATGATCATATTTCTCAAAAATACAAAAAAACTTAATTAGTTTTGTTTTATTTGAAACTGATCCACACCTACATGCCACTAGATTAATGAGAAAAAATTCTCATGAAATATTATTTAATCATATATTGTAAAATATTATGTGACAATGCAAGGCAAAGAAATATATTATTTCTGTAAATACCTTTGGCATTTGTATCAAGCTTGGCAGTATATGTTGGTCGTATAGACTAGAAAATACTTCTTCTATCATATTAAATAAAAATAATTGAATTATTTTACTGTTTGACGACTAGCACCCGAAGTACGAAATTTTGTAAAACTTTCTGGATTTCGACAAGGTAAATCTTTTAAGAAAGATGACTAAAAAAATCTCAATATTAATTCAATGAGAAATTCAATTTTCCGACAAAAACTGTTACCATTATAAAGTCTAATATATTCTCTTTAATAATAAAAATAAATTGCAGAATGTCCAATAGAAATCTAAAACAAAGTACCATATCAAAGAACTGATCAATAAAAAAAGCCAAAGACAAAGTCATTACTATTTACATTTTGTTACGAAAAATATGTTCCTGTGAAAATAACACTGGTAAAATAACTTACAGATAATGACAAAAACTGTACACATACTCATCTGACTAACGAGGAAATTTTTCCAAATGATAAATCGCTTGTTTGACTGAGACTATATCAGAAGACAAAACGAAGCAAGAGTAATTAGCATGTCACATATATTCAATAGCATGCAGTTCAACTGCTGTCGAAAGGAATTATTCACCAGTAGGTCAAGTTATCAACTGAAGAGGTTCTTATTCAGGTCCAATAACTGTTAATAATATTATATTTGTTCGTTAGATAGAGAATAACAAACTAATCGATTGTGATTGATTTCGTGCTATATGGCTTTTGTGTCTATCTTTTGCAATATGAAATCGAATAACTCATATGATCAAGAGATGGAAACGTCTTCTAAAAACGTGGCAAGACACTGCCGAAGAAAACATCAAGATTGAGGCGTAGTGAGAAGGTTAAAGCTTCTTTTTGGGGCGGAACAGGGAAGCGAAAGAAATTTAATGCCGAAGTGAGACAGTGCGGAGCAGAGAACAAAATATTCTTTCTGTTTCCGCCTTTAGGCTGTATCTAATTGATAGAGCCTAGTATGTAAATATCTTGAAATGATTCGAGTCTTAAATCTTTGTACCTGAAGTATCGAATGTTTAGCAGATTTTTCCTGCAAGACTTCAGTTTTCACATAAAATCATATTTTGGAATTTTGACCTGCGCCTTTGTCCCCATAAAAAATCCCGATTAGATTAAATTGAAGAAAAATTCTGAATATTTTTCTATAATCTAGTCTAAATCTAGCCATTGTGTGAATAAAGTTTCAGGTCAAAATTCCAAAGTATGATTTTGCTTGAAAATTCGAGCCATATAAGAAAAACCCAGTCGAAAATTTTCGATATTTCAACGACAACAGCTCAGCAACTCTAAGTGCTTTAGGATATCTACCTACTGACTAGGTTTTTTTAATTAAATATGGAAGTAACTTAAAGCGATTTATCACTTGGAGACCTTTCCTCATACGTTTAAGAAATATTTCTCTGAATTAATTTTTACTATCATATACATATAACAAATAAAGAAAAAAGATATAATGAAACTAATTAATATTGTTTTTATTTTTGTATGTTAATACATTCATTGCAAGACCATGAAGTTAATCCGATTAAAATTCCTTATTTAAATATATCCGAAAAGTGCTTATGAAGAAAGTACGTATGAGAAACAAGATTAGAAATCCAAAACAAGACCAAGAGACGTCCCAATGATAAATTTAATAAGGATAGCAGAAAAACATAATTTGTAGTTTCATCTGGAATTAAAATATATTAACAAGAAGAAATATCAGCAATTTTTCAATAATGTCGTAACCAATATGCAACATGGTTTTTCTCTTTTGCAGAAGTTCATCATCGTACTCGGTTTTTTTCCAGTAATGTACAAAATACAGTACTTTTTCAAAATCACAAGTATCTCGGATAGTTTATTTTTTGTTGAGATATTCATTATTGGAATGCTAATAATTTAATTTGATTGATGAATTTAAAGTTTATTGAAGGTATATTCATTACCAATGAAATTTTAGAAATGACCAGATGTCAGTAGTAAACAATTGATGATGACTGTTTAGGTTACCAAGTGCAAATGAAGAGAGTTGTGTCATTCTATCGTGTATTGCTTGAAATGGATGCACCCGAACGTCGCGCTAATATACGTGTTCAATTATCAAAAAATACACAAGAATGTAATTATCCTCGTGGAGCTTTAGTGATGGTAGCTGGAGCAGGTGGAGGTAACTTTTAAGGAATTTAATTGCTAAAAAAAGGATTCATTTTTTCATATTACAGGATATATTGGTCCTGGTGTAAGTTAATAATTATTTTGTTTTTCTTTGAAACATTAGACTCTATTGATTGTTATAGGCGATTTATCCTGATCTAGCTAAAGAAATGGTACAATATCCGAATTTAATTTCTGTACAAATGGATTATCGATATCCGGGTGATCTTAATCCATGTGTAAGCTATTGATATTAGCAAAAAATCAACTGAACAAGTTAAAATATATTATTTATTTTTAGATTCAAGATTTGATAGAAACCCTAGATCTTCTAGCGTCAAAATGTAATATTGAACGAGCTGTACTTGTTGGTTGGTCATTCGGTGGTGCTGTTGTAATCTCTGCTGGTGCTCAACATAATCTCGTTAAAGCTATCGGTAAAGATAAATATTCAAATTAGCTTTTTGTTAAATTCTACATATCTTGTATGATTAGCTACTGTTGCATCACAAACCGCTGGTACAAATAGTGTTAGTCAATTAGCTCAACAAGGTAAAGCATGTTTATTTATTCATGGTAAAGCTGATCAATGTTTACCACCACAATGCTCTGAACAACTTTATCGTCTTGCTGGTCAACCAAAAGAACTTCTTTTATATGATGGTGATAATCATGGTGTAACTATGCATCGAAATGAAGCGAATGAAAAAATCAAACAATTTGCTTTAGAATATTTACGTAAACCAACAAAATAATTATTTAGTTTTATTATTGGTTTAAAATATATGAATTTTTATTAATAATCTCGCTTTGATGATTTTATTCACGCAACATATATATATATATATTTTTTTTTCTTTTTTATCAATTGTTATTATATTTCTCACGCAAGAAATACATGTAAATGATTATCTTTATAATGTTGTTCTTTGAATAAACTAAAAGAAATGAAAATTCAAAAGAAAACTTGTTTTTTATCGATATATATACATACTCAATAGCTAATGTTGTAAATGGTATTGGTCCACAAATGCAAACAAGTGTTTCAGTGTCATGATCTTTTGAAGGTAATGGTGGAAGTAATCGATGAAGAAGTTCACCTCGAATATAACCTGTTTCACCTGTCCATTCAGTATCAGGTTCAGAGAGAATATAATGTACGATGAACCTGTGCATAAAATTTTTTAAATTTTTTAAATGTTTGTTATTTGATTGATGCAAAAATTTTTTTTTTAAATTTCATATGCGAATGTTCTTATGTTTAAAGTTTAATACAAGTTTATGAAAATTCATACAAAAGAAACTTATTGTAAGATGTCACGCTTACTATATATTCTTCAAATGTATGAATATTTTTCTAGCAAGAATCTAGATTGTTAAACCTCTCTTAAAAAAAAGAAAACTTTCGCCAAAAACATGAAAATTGAAATAAATGCATGGGAAGATAGCTTGAGGCATGATCTTTCATAAATGGCATGATTTTTTATTTGACATTTCCCTTTTTTTCGAAAAACTTTCGTCATTTTCTGTTGAAAAAATATGACTTTATTTTTAAAGAGAGAATGAAAAATCTTTTTCACTTTTTCTCTACTTATATTTTTTTAATCTCTCATTCTAGAGTTCTCGACCGAGTTTCTCTGTAGCCAATGGCTTTCTTTTTTGTTAAAAATAGCATGTAAAAATGGAGGTCATGACATAGTCCCTTTTTCTAAATTAACGTTTTTTTTACTCTGGTATAGAAGAATACTTTTACAATTAGAGCGCCAGTTTTCTTTTTTAGATTTTTTCGAGCGTTGAAACTTTCTCTCCTTAAAAAGTAAGAATTTAGAAAAAGAAAGAGCTTCGTTATGATCTGTATCCTGAAATGCTCTTTCAAATAAAAAACAGTAAGTATGTACATTAAATATCCACAAAATATTTTGAGATGTTAAACGAGCTATTTTTGATCCTTGTTTGTTGAGTATCTCCTGAAAACGTCATGATATAGATCTGAGAAGTTCATACAAGTTCTATGTACCTGACTCAAGATTGGTTTTGAGGAAGAGTCTTGAGAATAAAAGAAGAAGAAAATAGTTGATTTTATAGCATGCAAATCAAATATATTCAATAAAAATTACTCAAAATTAGTGAGAAAACTATTGTATAATTAATAGGTCTATATACTCAGACTAAATTCAGATAATAATAATAAAATGAAACGAAAATTTTCTTTGTATGAAATTAATTTCTTATTATTCATTGTCGTAGGTGATTATCTTTAGTTTGATTTCAAGATGACCTCTATAATATTAATAGAATCTAATGGTAAAAATAATGAAGGAAAAAAATTGATTCATTTTCGAGGAAAACAAATAAAGAAATCATACAAAAAGACCGTTTTTACTTACTTATATTGTTTCGATATTGTGTCTAATTCTTCTCGACATAAAATATCTTTTTGAGTTTTATTAAAAAATAATAAATACACTTTTAATTGTTTTCCATTATTCGTTTGTTTAATAACATAATTAATAATTCGAATCATTGGTGTAAAACCAGTACCCGCTGCAATAAGAATAAGTGTTTGACACATATCAATTCTTTGAATATCAAATGTGCCTTCACATGAACTCATGTCCATAGTATTACCTTTGACAAAAAAATAAAATAATAGAAAAATTCTTTCAAGAAAAAGATCTATTCATTTATGTACCAATATTCAGCTTGTGTAACGTTGGTGACATTAATCCATCTGGATAATGTTTAATCAATAACTCAATTGTATGTTCCGATGATGAATCTTGTTCATTAGTATTTAATTTATTGACTACTGTATAAGGTTTTACAATAATTATACCTGAATGAAATAATGATAAAAATATATCAATAAATGAGAAACACAAAGAAAAAATTTAGTATAACCATCTTTTGGTTGTCTTAATCGAACATGATAACCAATTGGAGGTAACATGAAAACATATGAAGGTAATGAGAATGTATACCAATCCGTATCATGTGTTACTGGACTTCGTTTAATTAGAGTAGCAGTAAAATATATAGGTTCTAAATGAAGAAAAAAAAATGACATTCAAGTATGTTAAAGTCAGTGTCTCATCCAGTGTGAGAAGGTCGAAATGCCGGTTCATCTTCAAAGAAAGTCTAGATAAAAAGAACTGCTAGAAGTATATCTTGCATATTCTGTCAGAGTTAGAGACGTGCAGTTTCAGTTTATTGACTGACAACATCTTTGACTCAGTATGGTTAGTGCACACTAGCACCCGTGGTCACTAAAGCGTTAGAACACACCGCTATACAAAGGGCAAATTTTGATAAAGTTGGTGTCTCAATGTTGCAGCGAATGTCAATGTCAATGTTATTAGTGAATACTGTATGGGATATTCACTGTTTAGTATTTACACCAACACTGAACATTCCCAGTCCGAAATAAGATTATCACTATGAAAAGATAGTTTTGTGAGCAGAATAAACTTCTATCCATTAAAAAAGTTTAATGTTATTAGAATTAATGGTTAGAACTCGACATGTATGAAAATAACCTTCTGTTATTAATAATTCTTATTAATTCTAATTGACACATAAAAGCTGGCACATATAATGCGAGACAATAACATTCTTTTTTTGGCATTCAGATGCACTTTAAGAAAGTCATTTGATAGAGATTCTTTTTTTCTCCACAAAATTGTTGCATATATTTTTCAAGTTCTTTTTGTTGGAGTAAAACGTAATATATTACGATTTACTTAATCGTCGTATTAATACAGTAAACAACAGTTTCCTGAAATGACAAGCATGCTACCAAATTCTGCATCTTTTGATTTATGTGTCAAAATTTCAGAAAAAATATTGACGAGAATAAACATCAACTAGAGAAACTGGAAAAAGCGTTTTCTGACAGAATTACGTGATTGTTCTTCTTTTATTTCGATAGAACCTAATCGCTTGTATTCTTCAATTTAGCAGTCACAACATTATGTTTATAATGAAATTCCACATCTGACAGCGCGAGAATGACTGTTTTATAGACTAAGTCGCATTTTGCAAGACGTGTCTTTCTGGCATGGGTAGAAAAATATGAGTTCCAAGCTTTTCTCTCATGAACTATAACCCTAGGAATCTTGAAAAGATTAAAGAAGCAAAGAGTAAAAAATTCTCTATTTCTTGATACTAACTGCGTTAATTTTTAGATTGATCTTCATAAACAAAGACTTACACAAATTAATAGAAAAAGTACAGTCAGATAATTGAGCACGCGTTCATATTTTAAATTTTACTCAGATGAGAAAAATTATAAATGAAACAGTTTTGTAGAATAAAAAACTCTCGACCAAATGAATTTCTGAACATGTATTGGAATAAGTTAAGAATGACATTAACTCGTTTAATCTACAGAAGCCATCGTTTTCTATTCAAATAAATAATATGTACCCATTAAGAAAGAATTTCATCAGATTTATCTGACAGAAATATTAATTATTTTAATTCAGCTCATTAGATAGAAGCAGGTGTAAAAATCATAATACTTAAAAAAATTTATTTATATGAAGTTAAAAGGATTTCTATATATATATAAACTAACTTCGGAAATCAATTTAATTTGCTTGGTAACATGTGTAATCAACTAAGTTAAAGTAGTCATGCAAGGAAAACAAGATTCAATTAAATCTGTCTTTTAGTTTTGCTTCGTTTACTTTATAAAGCTCAAATGAATACTATTCTCTATATGTTTTAATTCTTCGACTTATTTTTAATCACTTTTCTTTTTTTAGACATACCAAAACCATGTATAGGACAAATAGATAAATGATTTGGTAGGAATTTTCCGATTGATTTCCATATTTGATCAATTTGTTTGTTTAAATTAATTTCAATTATACTTGGATTAGTCGATGAGATACGAACTAAATGAATCCCCAAGTAGAAAAACAAAATCTATTTAATGGAACAAAATCTTTCTTTTTTTTTACCAGTAAAATCATCTGTTATCAATTCAAATAACTCTAAATAAATCAAAAACATAAATCATATTGTTTATTTTCTTATGAAATTTACCTATCGCTATTGTATGAATATATCCATCAATAAAAACAAGAATAAGAATATTTTTGGAATTTTCAATATAAACAAAAACATTTTCTACAGTTAAATTTATACAAGTTGTATATATAAAAAGTGTTAAACTGCTTGAATTTGATTGACGAAAATCAAATCGAAGTCGATTTTGTAAAGATTTTGATTTAATTAATGATGTTTCTTTTTGACTATGTTTAGTTATCAATCGACCAACAAGACATTTTTCAAGCATAGAAGCAAAATTTACCTAAACAAACAACAAAAATTATTTTCATCATTTGTTTTAAATCTTTTTATTTGAACCCAGGAATGTATATCTTGAAAAAGTGCTGTTGAATCAATACCAGCACCTTTCATTATTTCATCAGCACCACCTGGATGATAATCAAGGTATGGTGTTATATTATAAACATGTCCTGAACATTAAAAAAACACTTTATATAAGTTATATAAGGTATTTTCTATTTTTACCTGAAATAGCAGTCCAACAATCAGTTTTTTTATTGTGTTTAGCTAATTCTTCTTCTGTAACATTTAATAATTTTCCATTCGTACCAGACAAATTTGGTGTATTACTCATTTTTCTTATCCAATCCATTAAACCTAATAAAATAAATAAAATAATCGGTTAGAATTTTTTATTTTCTTACCATGTTTAGGAGCTAAAACTACCTAAAATAAATAAAAAACAAAACAAATTAAATAATTTGAATTTGAAAACCAAAAAAATCAAAAGAAAGAAAAATATTACTTGAGCTCTTGGTTTCTTCGTATTTGGATTTTGTCCAGGTAATGAAAGATAATTCATTGCTACTGAAATATCCCTAATCTTATTTTCTTCTCTTGGTTTATCACCACAAATACCTTTTGAAAATAAAAAAAAAAACACGAATAATTTTTATAGCAAAAAAAAACACTTTTTTTCGAAATATTTTCTACTTACATTTCCATATAGAATTCATTCTATATTCAATATTCTAGACTAAGGATATGATACGTTTCCTTTTTTTTAAGCATACATCTTAGATCTTTTTTTATTCTTCATTATAAAACATATGTGTCACATGAAGAAAAATGCCATTCATGCAAGTTATTTGATGCATCCTGAGAAAAATGAGAAACAATGTTGACATCATTTTTTTGTTTTCTATTTTTTCTTCTAGTAAAAGCAAAAAGAAAGAATAAGAAAAAAACATCGAAAGAAGTTTACAGAGAAACAGAGAAAAATAGCATTGAACGTTTGCTAGAAAAGTAAGTTTTATATTTCATAAAAACATTAAAAATGCGTTTTTTTTTCAATTTGAGTTCATTAAGTTTACTTAGAAATTTGATATTCGTTGAATTCAATGGAAAAAAATATACTTGTGAAAACTTAAAAATCTAGTGTAATTTTGCTGTAGAGTTTTGAAACGATTTAATATATTGGATGCAGTATAAAAGAAATAAATCGCCTGAGGTTTTTGTTTTTCTTTATCAGCTGTTATTTGATATTTTTGTTTTTCCCAATTGATGGATGTGTGAAAAGTAGTCATCACAATATTCTACGACTTTCTAACAGCATTGTCGAAGTGTCTAACAAGCATTAATTCTGTGTCGGCATGACTCCCGTTTCTATAAATACAATTTATGAAGTGAAACTATTCAAGCAATATACTATCATGAGGTCCAAACAGGACTTATGCTTGTTAAACCATCAAAAAAGTGATGTAAAAAAAACTGAAACAAAATTACATTTATTCAATTCAATTTCCCATTTTCCAGAGAATCAAATTGAGCACCTTTTTGAAATTCACTCTATGTTTCTCGAATAACACTCAACTAAGAAAAAAAGCAAAATCCAGACGATTACTTCCTTTATGACGCACCCGATACATTTCGATAATATCATAAAAACCAATCTATAGAGGAAATTAGATTATTCTAGGACCGGCTTATTTATTATAAAATGTAGTTATATAGTCTGAGATGATTTACTTTGATTCAAAAATGGTCTAGTTTAGTCCGATTTGTGTAGTTACGTTAGCATTTGATAAATCGATCTGTTTCAATGTGATGTCTCAATATCGATTCTATAGACACTTAATATCTTTCTATTTAAAAATTCCCAAAAGAAAAATATTTCTTTCTATGTAATCAAGTTTCTGACATAAAACATGTCCCGAGTGTCCGATGAACAACCTAACAAAAATGAAGAGACTAGTATATCTTCACTATATTTTGACCGGAGAAGTTAATTTTTTTTTCGTTATTATAGAAGGAATTTCCAAGTTTGTATTCATGAGGAAAAATTTTAGTTATATAGCAGAAAACTATTATTCTCTACTTAAAAGTGAGATAATGGATGCTTCCGCTTAACGACAAATAATAAATATTACGTTTCTATTTTCTTAATTTTTCAATTTATTTGAAATCTTTAAGTCGTCACTTGTCTATTTAACTTTTTCAAAGAGAATTTGCGAGAAATCTAGATGACTACAGTTAAATTTTGATAGTATACTTGCATGGGTAGTCAATCATAAATGCACAAATGTATTCAAAAACTCTTTGATATATTTTCATTTTGTAGTGTTTTTGATAACAAATAACACCACTGAACTCCAGATGCTTAAACAAGATCACCTTGCTTTGAAGTTCTAGAGCAATTCAACTTTTTCCAGTGATTTTACAATAGTTCTTTCATTCGTTGATAAAAATAAGAAAATCTTTGTACCGAAATGATCAACGGAAAAAGCTCTACAAAGCCGGATATGTCAATAGGAATATTCTTAAATCTTTGAAGCTTTTTATGATTGACTACTGATGAAAGTACCCGAGGAAAAAGCTATGTTTTGGATTTATCGTCCGAGAAAAAAAACTTAGACGCTGGAGATATTGCATCACTTTTTGGATAGACTTTTTCTGGGACTCTCGATACATCAAAAAATAAAAATGACTGATAATTTCAACATACAACACTTTGTATTTCTTAATTTAAACTCAATTGATAAGAATCCTCCAAAATGAATTAATTGAGTATATAATAGGTTACTTTATATCATTAGCTCAAGTGATAATTTAAAATAATTAGTTCATTTATGATGTACGGATGTGAGAGACTATTAAAATAATAATTAATTGAATTAATATCCTGTAGTTACACATTATATTCAAATTGAAATAATGATATAATTAAAAGATTTAAACTTATCAAAATGTTTTGAATATTTTATAACTGTTAAAGATCTAGTTTATGAGTTGTATAAACGGGTAGGATTGCAATAGATTTTTCTATTATTACTATTAATCATCTGTTTTCAGTTAAATTTGCCAATACATTTTCCAACATAGTTTATGCAAGCAAAAGAATTTATTCTTCTTTATTTTTATTGAAGATTATTTCTTTGAACTTAAATTATATGAAAACATTTAATGATCTGCAATTAAAACATTTGCGCATATAAAAAATAGATGTTTCACCTCCGGATGATATATTTAATGATGAAAATTTTGATAGGTTACAATTTATCGTTTTCCAGCGTTATATCTTGCAGTATTTAGAAATATTAGATAAAGTAGCAAAAAATAATCATTTTGTATTAAGCATTGAAAACAAAAAACTTATTTATACAAGTCGAGTGATACAATATTTAGGTAATTGTATTATTGTTTTTGATGATACGAAACTTACAGCCATTAAATCAATGGCATTTACGTATATTAAACTGTGTTTATATTGGTATGGATAGACTATCATGCATCGTCATATAAATCATAAAAACAAAGTGAAGATATTTATGATAAAAAGTAACATCTATTACGTAAGATAGATAATCTATATGCAGCTGTTTATGATTCAACAGAAAATTTGATATGTGTAACAAGTGAACAAAGATTATGCAGAACTTACCAAAAAAAATTGTTAACGTTGAACTTGATGTTGAATTTGATCCAAATCAACAAAGAATAAAATTCATTTTTCTTTTTTGAAATAATCTACAAAAATAATAGAATTCAAAATATTAATTTTGTTTTGTCTTATTCTTATTCAAATAATAAAAAAACAAAATTGAATGTTACAGAAATATTTTCTAAGATGAAAATTTAATGAGTCAGATTGAATTCTTTTTTCTCATTTTTATTTTCTTTTTACATACGAACACGTCGTTCTATATCATAAAAGGATTATATTTAATATTTCCGTTATATTTTTCTGTCTAAAGTGTATTAAATAAGAATTTCTATGCATAAGAAAGTTATCGAAAGTGAAGTGTAACATTGTTTCCTTTCATCTTCAATATTTTGTTGTGGTATTTTTTTTAATATTGAATAAACAATAATAATTATCTAACTCTTTTATTCGAAGATGCATATTAAGATATATTTTTCTCTCGATTAATTATTTCTTACGATTGAATTATGTCGAAAACTTATGATAATAATAATAAAAAATATTCTCAGAATCTCGTAGATTTTAATAATAATAAAATTTTAGTAGGTCATCTCTGAAATTTTAATATATAATTCTTTTATATAAATTCTTCTATGAAATTTTTCTAATCTTTTGAATAATATACTAATATGTAAAAGTTTACAAACATTTGATTCGATTCTTATTGAAAAATAAAAAGTTTTCTGTTTCTTATTCTTATCTATAGTTGAATTTCGAATAAACTTTTTATAAATATCGTTTGGATAAATAGGATTACTTTAGTTTTTTTTTTCAAATGAAGATTGACTGGTATGTTATCTAAATCTATAAATTTCTAAATAATAAAAGAAATAAATAGATAAATGATTATTATTTAAACATTTTATTCATTAAAAATATAAAATATTATTATGAAAAAACATTTGATTTTCGTTGTTTTTTAGATTGAAATAATGGAATACCACAAAAAGTTCGATTACGTTGACTAGAATTAATTTGTTCATTATCATCATCATCATTATTAAAATTTGTATCAAAACAAAAACGACAAGCATTATCATGTATAGTTGGATAGATATAAATTTTTTTATTTGTATTTAATTCAAATAATGTTTGTAATTGATTTCTTAAACGAAAATGTCCTTCATATCGTTTCGTAAATTCAATAATAAATGATGTTAGTTTTGAATAAAGTTTTATCAACTTCTTTATTGATTTTCGAAATATATCATGAGATTCTAATAATGTATGATCATGAATAATAATACATAAATGATTTATATTTATAGAATAAGTATTATTTACATCTGATGGAATAAATGATAAAAGATTTTGACGATTAATCATATTTTTTCCTAGAAAAATAAATATGAACAGAATCATGCGTTAGCGATGTGACTTCAAAAAATTAGAACGTATATATCTCAAAATAATTAACTTTTTTAGAGTTAATTTTTGTATATTATGTATATATTCACTTGTTCTACATACTCTGAAAAAAATTAGCGCTAGAGATCTTTGTTTGGAGGAATTATTAGTAAAATACTAACGTTAAAAATAACATTGACTTTCGCTTCAAAGATGTATAGATTAAAAGAAACATCGAATTGAGGCAGTATTTCTGAAAACTAAATGTAGCCAACTCATACTTGAAACAGAACTGGCAAATCAGTGAGTACGCCGCTCCGGTTTGGCCGAAGCTTTGAAGCTAACTGGTTTGGCTCGATTAAAAAACTTCCACTGGTTTTATAACTATGAAGCAATTCCTCAGGCTACAATGTGTTAATACAAAATTTTTTCTGAGCATGGCTAGTTTTTTCAAAAAAATGGATTTTCTTTTCGATAGCGGCGTGTCGAAGTACGAATACACAAACAAGGAGAAAGGATGCTCTTATAATTGAATGAGACAGAACTGTACAAATGAAATCAAAAAAGCCTCAAGTTCAAGTCAACTCAAGTCAAATTTGCCTTGGGGATACTTTTTAGTATAACTGGCTTGACTTGTGACATGAAAACACGTGACTTGTCTAGCTCTGTAATGAGAAGTTCAAAAGCTATCTCAAACGATACGAACCCTTCTTGAGAATTTTTACATGATGATAAGGTAAAATTTTGGTTTCGGAGTCTTATCAAATCTCTAGAAAACCTGGGTCTTAAGAGGAATTTTTTTGGAATTCAAATTTGTTGAAAATGTCACCATAGATGTAATTCATGCCATAGGATCTATCTTCAAGCTTTCGAATTTCTCTCTAGAAGAACTTCTTCAAAAAAAATTAATTCTGATAAGTCAAATAGACGATGGGTATGTCTCATTTTTGTATGAAATATCTTATGTATGAATATACCTATTGTCAATGATTTCATATGATTCCATTTAAATTGATCTGTATATTGAGCAACTTGTTTTAAAAAAACTAGGAAACTTGGACGAATATCAGTTTGATTTTGTTCTAAAATAATCGTTTTATCCAATATTCGTACATCATTCATTGTTAATGATTTCAATTGTTGAGTCATTAAACATAATTGAACAATTGTTCGACGTGACATTTGAATATTAATCATGACAATTGTTTGTATATTAGATTGAGATATATTCGGTATAGCATTTACTATTTTTTCCATATTCCACATGCCTGAGCCCATTTGATCAATTTTGCCATCAGTTATTATTAAATCATTTAATAATGGTAAACTAGTCATTAGTGTAATTAAACCATTAAGACTTACTTCAAATTTACTAATTGATAAATTTTTTAGTGAAGATATTATATGAGATGCATTATAAATAGAACGAAGTATATAGGATTCAAATGATTGTGTTATTTGATTTTTATCTGACCAGATTATATTTAATTCATTCAAAAGTTCCATTGATGTTGTTACACATTGTATATAATCAATAGAAATTATTTGACGACGGTACCAAAATTCATTTTGTATATAAGATGAATATTGATTTGTATTTAATGTTGAATTGAATTGTAAATATTTTAATGGTAAATCAATTTGATTGAATTCAATAAAAACTTTCATTTGTTTTAATTGACATATATTAATAAGTATAATTCGTTGATATTTCAAATAGTTTATATTTGTATATAAACTTAATGGACACATACCATGTAAATATGTTAATTCAAGTGTATGAAGATAAGAACATGTATGTAAATATTGATCAAATTCATTTAAAAAATTATAATCATTATTTAATAAAAGAAATTTTAATGTTAAAATTTGTAAGTGTTTATTAGGTAAACGAGAAAATATTTCACGAGAATTATGATCATAATCAAACATGATTTTTAAATGTAAATTAGTTAATTGTTCAAATTTATTATGAAATATATCTATTGAATAAAAAGTTAATTGTAAAGTATTTAATTGATTTAAATGATTAATATGATGTAAATTTACATGATCATTTGTTAAACGTAAAACTTTTAATGTTAATGAACAAAAATTTAATGATTGTAAAGTATTACATATATATTCATCATGTATAATTAATTGTTCAAGATTAGAAAATTTTTTTAAAGAAAATTCATTATCATAAAGAATTTTTCTACATGTTAAATCAAGTTCATCAATTATTAATTCACGAATTGTTAATGCATTTGATATTAATAAACGACAAAAGTAGGTAAATAAATGATAATCAACAGTTGATTTTATATGAATATTTATCCATAAACATGAACAATTATGTATCAAATTTTGTATACGTTTTGATGTATCAAAACTATGATACAGACGAACTAATTCTATATGATCAAGCGTACGGAAAATTTTTATCAAAGCAACATCAGGCAATTCGCTTAGAGACATCTGAAAGAAATATATAATGAAATGCTATTAAAAAAATGTAGAACGAGTCAGATGAATAAGACGGCAATTTTTTCTTTTCACCCATCAACTATTCTGTATCGTGCTAAATTATAGTTAAAAAACAAAAAAGCCACCTCCTACTACATTCAGTTCTCTATTCATTTTCTCTTTTTATGTTTCATAAACACAAACAAATACCTTAATGGTTACACAAAAAAAAAAGGAAAAAATTCACAATTATTATTATGTATATATAAATAGATGAAACAGAACAAAAAAACAATTTTTTTTCTAAAATCACACATACGATTCAAACATGTACTTATTTTCATAAGTTAAATATGTTATAAGTCGATCATTCATCGATGGATATGTTGATAATTGTTTAATGTCATCTGGAAATTGTTTAATATGCATTTTAATTGATAAACGACAAATAGTTTTTAATGAACGACATGAATTATCTTGTTGATAACGTATAATTGTTTCAAAAAAATTTATAAAACCAATTTTTTTATTTTCTAATTTTTTATTTAAAAATTGATATTCATCTGATTGTAGAAGAACTTTTATTTGATGTACATTAAATGATATTTCACCATTATCATTAAGTGTACGAAGAAATTTATTAAATAAACTAATATCTTTTTCTTTTTGATAATCTTCAGAACTAAAAAGAAAATTAAAAAATGAATTGAAATAAAAATATATGTTTCTTTCATGATTCTAATACTTAAGAGTTGATGATGGATATGGAAAAAGCATATCTTTTGAACGTGAATGAATAAAATATTCATAATGATTTGTAGAAATATAATATATTGCAATAATTTCAAGAAAATAGCCAATTATTTTTTGTCTTATAGAATTCATATTTGTTTTATTATTTGTTCCATTTATAAATATATCACGTAAACGATATTTTAATAAAAAACAAGCTAAAATAAAATCAATGTAGTTTTTTTTTTGAATAGATCAAAAAAAGATGAAATCTCAATAGGAGGAAACAAAAAGAAAAAGAAGTTTGTTCTGTCTGACGGAAGAATAATCCGCTACAAGAAGTTTTTTCCTTCCAACGACCTATTAACTGGAATAGTGTGAGAAAAAGAAATTCTTTCGTCTATAATTTAAATCGTTTATGAATCCATATATATATATATTATATTTATTATAAGTATTTTAATAAATCTGAACTAGCGAATAAGAATGGATAGCTATTTGACGTTCGTACTGCAATTAATTTTGATGCCAAGAAATAAGAAACGGATAAAAAACTTCTTTAAAAAATGACTAAATAATAGAAAAGAATTAATTTTACAATCTAAAAGTATCAGTCTCTTGTACTTATCAATTATATATCTATTTGTATGCCGTTATAGACTTGTCATTGTAAAAGAAAGAAATTTTGGCTTCACTTTGTCTGAAGGAAATCCTATGGGATGTTACCTATATAGTGGCCAAGAAAGAATACCTTCTAATTTTGGAATTACTTAGTTATTATGGAAATAATTATTTTGATATTTCGAAGAAGAAAAAAAATTATTAGTAGTAAACGATGACAGTATGTTCAATCTTTTTTTTGAAGATGTTCGTCCTAGCAAGGTGTATATTGATTTATAAAAGTCCTTTGAAAATTGATCTATTTATACATTCATTCAATAAGGTTTTTTAAACGATGATAAGGTCAAAAGTTATTGCTTTTTTTTTAAATTTCGGTTGGAATAGCAATTAGATGTAAATCATTGTTACAAAAAAAAATGATCTGAATGTATAATTAAAAAGAAAATCTACTAACCAAGTTCAAGTAAAACATCAACATCAAATTCATTCCAAATAAAATTTGTATAATTATTAAATAAAGATTGATAACTTGAGCAATTAAGAGGTGGTGGAGAATATTCAAAAAAAGATTTCGATATTTTACCATTAAATAGAAATAATTTATGTAATGATTGATATAGATCTTTAGTCCTATTGTCAGTTCGATTTGGATTCACTTTTTGACATAAAATATAAAGAAGATATTGATCAACAATTGTATTACCAAATTGATCATATGCGTTTGATAGTAATACATTAGTAGTAGCAGTAGTAGTTGTTGCTGCTGTTGTTGTTGGCGGTGTTACTTGTAATTTTAAACGTGATGAAAATGAATCAGTTAATGTTGTATCAATATATTCAAGCATATTTGGTTGATGATCAGATCGACAAAGACGTGGCCGATTAGCGGTACCACTTGTTGATGAAACTGTATTTGTCATTCAACTGTAATTAAATAAGTAGAATTTATATTTAAAAAAAAAATCAAACAGAATAATTTAATTTGTATACCTGCAGCTTTTATTTTTTTGTTAAGTTTTCTTTGGCGTTAATAATCACTTGTATGAAGAGAAAAAAGAGAAAAAAAAATGATGCTAATTAGTCGCCTAATACATGAGTGGATAAATTTTTGTTTCTTTTTTTGGCTTAAAATAAATGTTTGCCTTCGTTTTTTGTGTTTTACAAGTGTCAGTATTTTTTGATTAACTTAACATTTCTTTTGTATATAAACGAATAATAATGGTTAATGAGAAGAAAAAAAACTATACAAAAAAAGACCAATAAATATATATATATAATATAGTTGGACGAGAACAAAAGCAGATGAATTAAAAATCAGTAGAAAAAAAAACGATTCTTTTTCTCATTTCATGGCTTATGAAAAGACTATTTCTCTATGGAATATGAAATAATAATCTTTACATGGTGTCATCAATTGGAAAGCAAAAGAATAATGCAAACAAACTAAGATGAATAGTACACCGTTGTATTCTCATTTCTTTCTCTTTTATGGAATTTTTCTTTCTCTCTATATCTGTCTCTCTTCCCATCTCTTCCCTCTCTCTCTCATTTTTTTTTTGTTCCAGAGTATGCCCGAATGATGATGAAGATGATGACAGGAATGCAAGGAAAAAAAAGAAAAGAAAAAGATTGGGTTTCAACGAACTAATTGGCTAGTGATATCCACTGGGGCACTCTTACTCACTCACTCACTCACCAGTTCAATAACAACGACAATGATGCCATGAATTATTGTTCCTTAGTGAATGTAAATAACGTTTTTCTTTTCCTTCTATTCCGGATGTTGTTTGTAGTTTTGATGATGGTTTACAATCCACTATAGCACAGCATACTCTTGAATCTATTTTTTAATAATCATTTTCTTTATTGATGTTATAAGTTACATTTTAATATAGCATATATATTTGCTAAATTGGAATTTTGCATTGATGCGAAACTTCATATTTATTCTCATGAGATGAAGATTTAAGTAAACGAGAAATAATATATATATTTATATACATGAACATAAAATAGAATGCAAAAAATAATTAGAAGAATGAATAACTGTTAAATATGAACGATGATTCATTTGCGAAATATTATTATTCGAGCAAAAATATAAATTATTTGTAAATAATCTTCAATGGATATAAATAGTTTCTTTCTTTCTTTTTTTTTCTTTTCATAATATTAAAGTAAATCATCTGTTTCAGATTAATCTTCAAATATGTCATTTCATCATATGTCATAATTGTTTTTCTTTTATATAGATTAATGTATCATCATGATGAATAAAACCATCTGACATGAATTAGGATCTTCTTTGATTAAAACCATATATCAATATTTATCATTCTTATTTAAACACTACACGTCAACTGTTTTAATTGATATAATTCCAAGATGATGAATAAACTTCATCGTAAATTTTTGGTCGTGCTTGATTCTTAAATGATACTGGCATAGAGCCAAAACTAATGTGAATAATAATATTCAAATCTGTCGGTATTTGCATAGTTATTGTTTTTCTTTATCTGTCTAGAATATGATACAAGTTTGGTAGGTTATTGTTTTTTGTTTAATACTCGACACAAAGAAAAACAAAACAAAATGTATTGAAGATTATTAGTGAAGTATTTTGTTCTTTTCTCCTGATGAATAAACAATGAACAAAGACAAAACAAAAGAATAAAGCGAGCACCAGCAGACAAACAAACAGAACAAAAGAGAAGAGGTTTTCATTTAATCACTGTTCCATATAAGATAAATTAATTATTTTTCTTTTTCTTGTTTTCGAATTTGTTCGATCAAGTAAGGCAAAATGATGCAGAAGAAATGCATGTTATGCATCTCTTTGAGAACGCCAAAAACAAAGAATATTATCACTTGAGATCAACATGCACACAGACACACAGAAAGGAAAAGAAAAACGAGGAGTATATGGAGAAAGCGGAAAAAAATGAAGATAATTGTGCCATTCGACTACAAAACACACACACACGCACACATACAAACAACTGTTTGAAAGAAAAAAAGAGATACAAATATGCTTAGAGATAGAAGAACAAAAACGAAAAACTTCTAATAATCAATTTTATCGTAAAAGAAGATTATAAACAGAAAAAAAACAAAGAACAAAACAAACCCTCTCATGCACAAAGAGAGAGAGAGAGAGAGACAAGAAAACAGTACATAAAAACGAAAAATGCCTATTTATTTCATATACTGAACAAAAAAAAAAAAAAGAAAAATTAAATGTCATTTGAAATATAATAATTAATTGAGACAAAAGAAAAAAAAAGCCAAATAATTATATAGAAGAATATAAAGAAAAAAAATACTTTTTCTTTTTTTTTTTTTTTTTCGTTTATTTCTTTTTTCTTCTTCATTTTATTAGTTGCACATGAATAATAATTCCTGTTTCTTTTCTAGTTAAACAGGTACACTTCCAATCATAACTTTCGATACGAAACCAACGATAGCTGTTGATGGTTGTGTTCGATCAATTTCAGCAAATATATGACATTCATTTTCTGCTTGAGTTGATCGATTATTTCCGTTAATTTTCTTTGAAACAAAACCAAAACATCTATAGAAACAACAAAAAAATAAAAATTATAATTTAATATTAGATTATATGTCTATGTTTTAGTGTTTTTTTTTTCTTTTACTTTGCTTTGGGTAACATTTCAAGATCAGAAAATTGATGTGTCCAATAACGATCTGTTTCATAGTCAACACCACAATATGTGACATATTCTTTAGGAAAATGACGTCGTGAAAATAATCTAAATAATCCGATGTCCCCTTAAAGGATTTATATTGAACAAAAAAATGTTTTATTTTACTTTTTCTTTGTATCAGTTAATGTTATACCAGTATTTGAAACTTTAAAATGAACAATGGTTGCTTGTAAACGATCAGGATTTTCAAATGTAGAACGTAATGCTTTATTTACGGCCATTTGACCAGATAATGATTCAACATCAATATGATTTAAATAGAGAACATTACAAGCTGAGATTTATTGAAAAAAAGTTTATTTATTTATTTTGAAAAAAAAAATTTTATTTTTAATTTTTACCAGCTCCTTTTTCAAGTAAATCTTTTACAGACATTTTTTTAAATGTTTCATGTTGTTGTTGTTGTTGTTGTTGTTGTTGATTTCCTATTGAACGATAATCTTCAGTTATATCAACAGTCGGTAAAACTAATTTTATTGGCAAGGCAAGCGGCGTTATTGAATGTTGGTAGACTAAAGCTGATAGATTGGCTAAAAACAAAAATAAAAACGTCATTAATGTTGAATAGTAAGTTCTTTAAGAGATATAAAATAGACTAGTTGATTAATTGTTTCTTTTTACTTATTCGTTTCAAGATAGGAAATTTTTGAATGTATTTTTTCTAAAGTTGAGATAGATAAATGATAAAGATTTGCGATTAATACTATTGAAAAAACAAGCGGAAACAAGATACGTCGGCTTATGTGACAATCAGACCTGATAGTCGTTTTTAAATAGATATATAGATTTTAGAGTATTTCATTTTCTCAATACTTTAAAATCTTTTTTTTTAATCCCTTGATTAGCTTAGTTTTTTCAAGCAAGACAATCTTCAAATCTTATACTATTTAATACGACTAGAAGTGTAAGATTAGTATTCGTGTTACAAAATGCTAATTCTTGCGCATTAGTATTGAAATTCAGTCTAATGTTTTAGTATTATTTCGCAATAGAATTAATTGATACTAAGTCATTATCATAAAATTAGATTTATTTTTATCTTTTAATAGACATAAAGTGACTATCTAAATTATCCAAGTAGTGAAAAATTTTCTTTTTCTTTTGTGTAGATCTCAAAAATTAACTCAGCTAGGATAATTTAACTTTCATCAGATTACAACTCATAGTTCTTAGTATACTAGTAAACAATTTCCAGGTAAACCTATCGACCTGCCTATTTATTACTTTCTGACGATACGATCTTAGCATGGTTATCTTGTATCCTTCCAAAATTATCCAACTGCTTATGTTTTTCAAACTATTGCGCACCTGTTCTAAATTGAAATGTTTTTTTTTATGATATATGATCCAATAGAACAAATTGGACTCCATGTAAAGAATATTCTTGATCTTTTCTGTTGTTTAAGTATGAATTACAAAACAAGATTTTTTTGACCTATACAGAAAATTTTCAACAATAAAAGATTTTTTTTTTGTTTTTCATATGATGTTTAGACAATTTTATATTTTATATATCGTCTTAACAAGAGCACTGTAAATTGCATGAATTATCCTATTTGAATAAATATTTTATATTTGATAATGATGTTGGTCGTCTCCTCTATCTCTATCAATCACAAATAAATTTTCTTGTGGCGTGTCATTCACACATTAATAGAAGCATAAAAAATTGTTTTCGCAGAGTGAATTTGTAAGAAATCTTTTTATTGTCTAATAGAAGACTCACTACGGTAACTTTTTTAATATTGCTATTTATGATAAACCGGAATTTCGACAACCGGAATTTTGCGATCTGATTTTTGATAATTGATCCAATTTCCGCAAGACTTTTAACAATGAAAAGATTGTCAAAATTGTAACAGGAAATTACACAAATTGTCCAAATCATAGAGTTTTACTGATATTCTCGCTTCATTGCACTGTAGCTTATAGATAAACTGGACTTTAGACAAACTTGTTTTTATTGTGAAGATTTTCGCGAACATTGGACAAATGGTCGAAATTCTTTAGAACCGAAATATCTATTTAGATAGAAGAATCCATGTAATTTACAGTACTATTGTTAATACGATATTGAACAATAAAATTGGTTGAACATCATATGAAAAAAGTCTTTTGTCATCGTGTTGTTAACAATTTTCTGAATAGGTCAAAAAATCTTGTGTTGTAACTTTTATTCCAAGAACAGCAAGAATAAAGAGTACTCTTTACATAGAGCACAATATGTTCTATTGAATCATGTATCATAAAAAAAAGAACATTTCAATTTAGAACAGGCGTGCAATAGTTTAAAAGCAAAAGTATTTGGATAATTTTGTAAGAGCGAAAAATGGTCATGCCGCGATTGTATCGTTAATAAAAATTAAATAGATAGATAGATTTACTTGAAAATAGTTTATTAGTATACTAAAAACTATGAAATATCATCTGATGAAAGTTAGATCATCTACTCGTGAGATAATTTTCACAGTCACTGCATATTTATTTAAAAAAACTTAAAAAATAGAATGCAATTGATCTAGTATTGAAAATATTCGGTCTTAAATAATATGAAATTTTGTCACAAATAGCATATGTATGAAAAAATTAAAATAACTTTAACTTAATGGTAACACTTTCGTAATAAATAATGCTAATGTAAAATAATACAAGAGCATTTACTTGAATTTAAATATAAATGCTACACGAACAGATATGCTATAAATAATAGCATCACTCATATTGTATAATTTTGCCTTCTTGTTTCAATCGTGCTACATTAATTTTTTTTTTGATCAAAAGATTTTTCAGTTGAATTATCTACAAAATGATTATATTTCAATGAGCGAATACAATCGTCCTTAGTTCTATAACATTTGGTATAAAAGTTAAAATAAATTATAACAATATTAGAAAATTGTTATAACTTACTTGAATATTTACCAATAGTTGCATCTTTTGAACTCTGATAGAGTTTGTATCAAAACGAGATTCATATAGTATGTAACACATATAAACCTTGAAAGTTGATTTCAATTACTCAAGAATAAAAAAATGCATTTTATTCGCGTAATTCAACCTTTTATATTTGCAGCGGGGTCCATATATTTGTCTTTGTGTACTCAGTAATGTCTATCCTTCATTTACGTTTGAATGCTACTCAAAAGACGCATGAATTGGGACCTATAGAAATCGAAACGATCAATCAGATGGGCTCATCTCTATATCTTTCTCATCATGCACTCCTTATACAGCTCTTTGCACTCTATGTACATCTTGTTCTGACACAAACTCTATTAGATTCAAAAAAGGCGCACCGATTCATATTTGCATCAAGTTTTTTAAGTAACGCGTGATTATATTTGTTCATTGAATTATATCATTTTGTATATAGCCTTTTGGTAAAAAGATAATTCAATATGATTTGAAGAAGAAAACAAATCTACAACATATGGATGATGCTGTGATTGTTATTGCGAATCCGTTATTATGATTCATGTAGATTAAATCTAATTCGATACTCCTCGAATCGACTAATGGTTATTATTATAAAATATGAATCAATTAGCTTATTGAATTTCATGTGTTTTTCATGACTGGTTAATCATATATTCATCTCAATCTAATAATTGAAAAATTAATTACTAAAACATCTTTATAATCCATATCAGACAATAATTTTCTATCTTATCTTTATATGATCATAATCATACTGAAAAATGATAATTTGAAAATAAAAAGAAGGTTCATACCAAAATCCGGTTCATTTAGACATCCTTTCAAACGAACATGTCCAGTTGGTGTTCGTTCAATAAGATAATGTCGAACGAGTTCAGCATTAGGATCAACTCCTAAATTACATAAACATTTATTTTTTAATCTATTCATAATCAAATAATAAACCTGGTTTTGCTTGAATGCCAGCTGGTAATGTTTCAACTTTAATTGCAAGACCATATGAACCTGGAAACCCTTGACTATCTCGAATAAGAAATGTTCCAGCTGGTTTTGTTTTAAGTAAATTAATGGCTATTTATAAGAAAAAAAAAAAAAGATAAAAATCCAAATAATAGAATATTTGTTTCAAAATATACCATCTTCACGTGACATTTTTTCTTTATACCAATATTGACTAACATTATGTGCTTGATAGGCACCATTACGGACTACATCAGATTCTAAGAAAAATAAAAATTCCATAAATTTTATCATGCAATATGCCAAGGTTAAAGAGTTATTTCTTATTAAGTATTGATAAAAATAAAATAATCTATATAGACTATAAAATATATTCTCATGAGACTATGATAGAAGAATTCTTCGCATTTATGTTTAATCTTGAATTAATTTGTAAAAAAATTAATAATTTACCTGCAGCAGATGAAACACTTGAACGTCGTGAATTTTCTTCTTGATTTCGAAATGAACTAAAACAATAAAATTTAAATTAAAAAAAAAAAGGCAATTACCAAAGACTTTTATTACCTATTGCCTACACGTGCTTGAATGTTTTGATTATCTAAAAATATTTTCACCGCAAAAGAAATATATATCAATAGCATATATAAATTTAATTGAATACATACAAGTTTGAGTAGTTACTGGAAACGTAGGTGTTGATGGTGTTTTACTTGTTGTTTGATTATCACCACGATCAGCATTGACGTTTGGTATCTATGAAAATATAAATAAAACCAGATAAATATCTATTGTTAAATAAACAAGAAGAGCTCAATTTATTCAGAGCAATATGCAAGAGAGATATAAATGAGTTCTCTTACAATCTCTGCTGTAGTAGAAAATATTTGTGGTTTTATTGTATTTGAATCATTCGATACAGGTAATATGGTTGTTTCAATAATAGTACATTGTGGTCTCGAGGGTCTTTTAATAATATGATCATCAGAAAATTTTCTTTTTAATTCTGGTGATGGAGGTAGTTGTTGTTTATTATTACTTGGTGGATTAGATAAACCAACTGAGCCTGGAAAAAAATTTGGTAATACTGAAACATCTTTTTTCATTGTTTCCAATTGTTGTTTAGTTTCTATTGATGATGATGATGACGGTAATGTATTTATCGTCTAGATGATAAATGGAATGTAATTTTTCTTTGAATGTTTTTTTTATTTATTTCAAACATTCCATGCGATTGATGTTTTACATGCAAAATACAATATATGCAGGGAGAGGGGGAAGGGACTACTAACAACACTGAATATATATATATATATATATATAGGTGTTTTTTCCTTACCCTTTTTGGTTGAGATTTATTTGTTATTGATATTTGTTGATCAGGTAACCGTGACATTGTTGTTGATGTATCTTGTGTAAAAACAGGTATTGATGTTGAACGTAATTGATCTTGTGAACGATAACGTTGATTATTATCAATAAATCGTTGTTGCTGTTGAGATGTAGGTCTTCCCATTGATTGTTTACCAACCCATCCACTATCACCATATTGTATATCAATAGGTACTTGTTGACGAGAATAATTTTGTTGTCGTATATTCATACCTGAATCAGTTTCATAACCACTTATGTTTTCTGTTCGACTACGTAATGTATTCGTATTTGTTTCATTAAGAAACGAACTACCACGTAAATTTGTTGGCACACTATTTAAATTTGATGACGATACCATTCTATTATTAACGACTAATGTTTCAGGTATAGCTGCCATACGTGGTGGTAATGTACGTGTCATACGTAATCGACCACTACTAATTAAACCTGTATCTGTATCATAACCATCTGGACGTAACATTGAACGTTGACCACCACCACCCGAACTAGTAGCTGCATAACTTTCATGATGACGTTCACGTACAAATTGTCCTGGTTGATGAGTATAATATGGATAATGCACAGGTGGAGGTACATGTTGTGGCGGAGGCGGTGGAGGAACACCATAATATCTAGGACCATAATTACGAGATGTTACAAGACCTGTATCAGTTTCGTATCCTGAATAATCATGACCACGTACACGTATACCACTTGTTGGTAATGTTGAACGTGAGTAATGATAATATTCAGTTGGATGTCCATCAATATATGTACGTGAAGGTGAACGAACTAAATCCATACGACGTAATTCAATTGGTCCATCTGGTGCTGGTTCGGATGTTGCACGAAAATGTGTCGGAATGGCTGTAGTTGATGCTGATGTAACTGTTGTTGTATAACCATCTGATCAAAGAAAAACAAAAACGAGTCATCAATTTTCGAAAGAACAAATGTTTTTGTTTTTACCTCGATTATCTTGTCGACTATAAGGTCTCCTTGATGATAATGTACTTGTTGGACTATCAGTGCGTACAAGTTTTATTGGAAATCGTCCACGCATTGGATCCATCTAGATATGAAATATTTTATTTTTTTTTGATTTCAATGAATGTTCTCTTCGAGATAAAAATTATTTTCTTATTAATATAAATTTAACAATAATTATAAACTAATGATTTTCCGTTTCTTTCGTTCTTTTTTTTTTCAATCTATTTTGCTTTTTTTTCTTCTGTTGGCTATCATCCATTATAGTGCTTGATGTTCTTGGTAATCTATCTTTACGTAATATCGTTTTGTCTTGCTGTGTATTCTGTATAGATAATCAATGGATCGTCTTAGCTTTCCTTCAACTGCCTTATTTGACATTGAGATTGAGCAATGATGAATGTTATTTTATCAATATTCGTTTATTATTACTAATCAATTTCAATCTTTCATCTTTTTTCTTTTTGATATAAAAAAAGAAAAATGCTCTGTCTAATCAAGCGAAACTTTATATCATTAAAACACAATTAAAGTGTGACCAATAATTATATCAACACTTGATGTACTTACTCGATGAACCGAATCTGTATAAGCAGCACTTGAACTATATGTTCGACGATTATTTGTTGGTTGTTGATGATGTATTGGTATATCAGTTGTCCATGTTGTTTGATGTGTTGGTAGTTGTTGTTGTTGTTGTGAACGTTTTCTTAGAGTATTTTGAACACTTTCTAATAATGAATCAATAAGTTGTTCATCAATGGATAATTGGTCTCGTGATGATGTTGTTTGAATTGGTTTATTTGTGGTTGTGGTTGTTGTTTTCATTGATGAACTTGTTATTGGTATTTCTGTACCATCACTGATACTAGCACTAGCACCACCACCGCCGCGTTTTATACGTATACGTTCTTCACGTGTAGTCTTTACACGTTGTTCTTCACGTTGGACACCACTCGATGATAGTGATGAACCATCAATAAGACCACTAACTGTATTAGCATCAAAATCATTACGTTTTTGATTATTTAATGTTGATGCTTGTGTATATGACGAAGCTCGAAGAGATGAAGGTAATTTTGAATTTGATGCATCATTATTATCATTATCTGATTGACGATAATAAGAATATGATGAAGATGATGTTGAATATTTATTATTATTATTATTATTATTATTACTAGTACGATTAGTTGTACTTGTTTCAATTGGTCGATTTACTTCATTAAGTAAATCTTTAACAAGATCATCAAGTTGATCAACATCAGATTTTAATTTTGATGATTGTGATAAAGACATGTTTTCGTTTGAAGGATTAAATGAGACAGGCAGCGAAATGCCGCCGTCACTAATTTTACTGACACCGATGTTGTTATTAGGTAAAGAAGGAAGACGTGTTATGGGTATTGATGAAGAATAAGAAGACGATGAAGCACTAGTTATTTGTACAGGCAAACTAGTAGACGTTTGGTTTATTTCGAATGGTAAGGAAGAAGAAGGAGAAGAAGAAGAAAATGTAGTAGCGTTTGTAGTTGTACTAGTAGCGTTATTATAATGATTGACTTGCACGTTTTTGTACATAGTCTAGAAGAGAAAAGGAAGAAAAAAATCTAAGAACAACATAACTTCTATGTTGGTGCCACAGTAGCATTCATCGGAGGAACATAAAAGAATGTAAAAAAAGAACGACGCAAAAAAAAGAACGAAAGAAAAGAAAAGTAAGACCGGCACTTCTTGCGAAAGAAGAAGACGGATAGTAGAACTAGTAGGATCTATTCTTCTATCTTTCTAGAGTGGTACCGTTTCTGTTATAACAATCGTTTCTTTTTCTCCCTCGTTTTTTTTTCTTCTTTCTCTTCGGTTGATTCGTGCTTACAATTTTTACGTAACCCTTTCCTCATCCCTTATTCTTAGTATTGAGACGAAGGCGCTTGTCGTCCTTCCGTTGCTTCTACTATTGCCTACATAATGGCATCAACGACTTATATTCTGTTTGCTCGTTCGCTATCATGCTGCATTACTCTATCTAACATATGCATACATAAATACTGTGATGAGCAAGAGAAGATTGGAACAAGAAAAGTACTATAATTTGCTTATATAGATATATATGCAATAATAAATCGGCTGAAAAGTTTCGACAGACTTTCCGAGAAGGCTACATGTATATATGTCGATATAATCGAGGATAAGAGAGACCATTATAGATGTAGGATAATCATATATAAAGAACAAGAATATGCTATTTGATTTTGATAAATAAAAAAAAGGAAAAGAAGAGAAAAAAAAAATTCTTTGATATCCTTTTTGTTTGTAAGTAAAAATAAATATAATAATTGAAAACAAGCTCAAAATCTATGAGAATTTGACTAATGACAAAATATATTGATAGTAGTGAAGGTGTTGAAAAGATATCTATATGTTGTTGATAGTTTGATTTATACATATATATACATACCAATCAAATAATGCTAAAGCCATCGTCGAATGTTATGCATATAAGTAGAGGTCAACATTAAGGTTACAATATCTTCTTCAACGAGCAATAGCAGCAGCAGCAGTAACAGCAGTTAACGTAGTAGTAGTCAAAATTCATTCATCTGAAAAAAAAGTCATACCGGAAGAAAGACAAGAAAAAAAAGCAAAAGGAGAAGACGAAGAAAAAGAGGAAGAAATCAATGAAAGAGGACACTATAAGAACAATATACAATTATGAACAAAGAAAAAAAATCAAGAAAACTAGTGCGTGCATGATCGATTATGAATGCAACACTTTTTTCTGGTATCATACACAGACAAAAACCATCTGTGTATGTATATAATCAATAGAACACTGTATGAATGAATAGAAAAGATAATACAGTATCAAGGGAAACAAATCTATAAGTAATAAACAGAATAATATATATATATCTGTTATGTTGTCCTTGATTAATCTTGAAAAGTCAAGAATTTTTCTTTTAGAAAAGTAAACTGATCAGAAGAAAAAGCAAAACAATTAGCATACCTTGTCTATTTTCAGTAGTTACTCATCAATCATATTTCTCACTGTATTTTTTTTGCTTTTTACTACAGTCTTTTACTTTCTTCTTCTTTTTCTTCTCCTGTGTCTATTCGTGAGACACAATCCAATATAAGTTCGTATGTACACGCATTGCATAGAATGATCACCATCACGCGTATTGTCTCATCTTTCGATCACGAATCGATTTCATCTTTCTCTCATTCTCTCACACATAAATCCATATCAAACATACGACTGTCTATGATGTTTAGTTGAGCAGTAAAGAATTCATAGAGAAAAATCTATATATGAGAGAATAATGAATGGCCCACTGCCAAGTAGTATATATATACGCATACACTGTTCAACATTTCTTTTTTCTCTTTCTTTCTCTATGAATATATATATATATGCATGCAAGATGAACTCATTCGACGAGAGACAGAAAAAAAAGAGTGCACTCTGACCGAGTTGCATGCTAGCTTTTTATGTTGTTGTTGTTGATGATGAGGATGATGATGAAAGAATGATGGTGATACTAGTGGCCAAATAGAACCAATGACTCCGTTAGTTTGATGCAAAATCAACAAAAAGACATCAACACTGTTTACATATAGGTTTTGTCATTTAAGATTGGAAGAATAGACATAACAGTAGACCTTCATGAAAACGTCAACATTGCTAACATGAGCAAGAAAAAAAAGATTAACAACAGGAGTCATAGAAAATCTCATATAGATCAAGGTTTGGATATAATATATATATATAACTCATCTGAACATTGTTATGGTCAATCAGAAACAGCAAGGCTCTTCTATATGCGCACTTGTAAAAGATTAACGTAAAAAAAGAAAAAGAAAAAAGAAAAAAGAAGAAAAGAGATATGATCAGTTGAGTGCGTATGCATGTGTATGCATATCGATATATATCAACGTTCAAGGGTAAAATAATGTCAATGGCAAAAACAACAACACGAATGAACGATATATGTGAGTTAAGTGGTTCGATGAACAACAAAATGCATAGAAAAAAAAAGGGTTTAATCGTGATCAGAATCAGATAATTTAAATGCATTCATATACATATATATATATATATATATATTGTCAATACTCAATTGTCGACTCAACTTTACTATCTATCACTCTTTCGCTCATGTTCTATCATCTATATAAATATCGTTTTCGTGCTATGTTCTTATCACCCTTCGGGTATGTTGAACGCCACGACAACGAAGGAAGACAAAAGGTCACATATATGATATGCTTATGTAAGCATGTATGCAGGCATTCGTTGATCAAGGCAATATTGTTGTTTCAAGAAGACACAGACAAAGAACGATTATCAATCGGCTGATTAGAATGAGAATCAGAGCAGCACAACAACAATAATAATCATCCTCGAGCATCATACATGCAACTGAACAATTTTTTTCTCCTTATTTATTATGAGGAGAGAATAGTAGACAAAGAAGAAGAAGAAGAAGAAGAAGAGAAAGGATAAGTGCAAGCAAAAATTCTTCTATACCAACAAGAAGAAGCCATCGACATGTCTGTTGACCGAATATCGAATAGCATTCATATGTAAATACGTGTATACATATATATATATGAGTAGAGATCAAAAAAGAAAAGAAATTTTATGTTCATCTAAAATTAAAGGTAATCATCAGTAGGAAGAGACACATGCATTGAGTATAAAAAAAATAATCAGAAGAAAATAAAGAATCCTAAAGTTCAATTTTTTTTCTTATCTCTTATCAAAACTATTTTATTTGTAAAATATCCTTTGTTACTTGATCATAATTTTTCGTTAATTCAATTATATCACGATAAATCCATGTACAACCTGATTCACGTAATAATTTTTCATCAAAACCACCGCAAAGAACACCAACAATTTTTAATTTTGCTGCTACAGCAGCTAATATAAAGCAATAATAAGATATCTATCAAATAATTATTACAAAACTATCTTACCTTGCGCATCCCATGGTGTATCACCAATAACAACAACACGATTATTTGGTGGGTTTTTTAATAATTTTAATGCTGCTAAGAATATATCTAAAATTACAAATGAAATAATTGATATAGAAGGAAATTCTATAGGATTTCTACCTGGATAAGGTTTAGATCGTTTGACATCTTTTGAATTCGAGCTCGTTTGACAATCAATTAAATCACTAACATTAGCAATATTTTTATAAAGTTCTAATTCATCTGATGCTGCTGATGATGCAAGTGCAATAGGAATATTTCGTTGTTTAATTAATTCAAATAATTGTCGAACACCAGGAAATGGTTTTACTTTATGAAGATAATTATCTTTAAATAATTTTGCTTTTCTTGCTTTAATATCTTCACTATACTTTTTAATCTGCTCATCAGTTGCAAACACTGGTAATAATTGATCAGCAGCTTTACCAATTTGCATACGAACATCAGATAGATTTGATTTAATATTATAATATTCTAATGCATCATGCCAAGTTTTTGCATGATAATCAACAGAATCAATAAGTGTACCATCTACATCAAAGATTACCGCATCAAGCTCACGTCGTTTTGTTGATATATGACGAATTGATAAAGGTAACTAAAGAAAAGTATTAAGATAAGAAATAAAAAAGAAAACAAATTTACGACAAGAAATAATCATACTTGACGAAGACTTATTGATGATAAATAAGATCGGAACATTTTTATTGATTTATGGATAGCAGAAAATTAGTAAGCTCAATATTAAGTAACAGTCGACAACTATAGGACTGCAACATTGCCCAATGACCTTTATTTGACCAGTATACATAAAAAAGAAAAAGAGGGCGCTGTTTTCCTCTAATATCCGTGTAACGTTAGTGGAATCCGACTTTGGCATGCATTTTCAGACAACAATGTTTACTATTTTGTTTCTATGTACAGATCCATTTAGGGCAACATAAGAAGCAGAGAAAAAGCGTTCAGGCATCATAAAAACAAAGTGAAATGTGACTTAGTATATGACATTATGCACAATCATTTTTTGTTCACTCGTTCGTTTTCTTGTAATATACAACGCAACAGTCAATCAAAAACGCATCGACGTAATTAGGTTCAACAAAGAGATAAAAGAACTCGAACAACAACAAGAATGAAAAGCAAATAGAAACATGTAGAAAAAATATTCCAATATGCTGTATGAATCAAGTTATTTGATATTTTTCATTCACCAAACACTATGAACAACAATAAAAAACCGATGATAGTAACAACTACTACTGTCATGCCATCTGAACATATGAGCATAAAGTTACAACAGCCTCTTTCAATTTGTATAGTTTAGAACTTTGTTCTGGTGTGGCTTGATGCCAATGTCGATACGATGGCCAACAGTAATTCTATCAATACGATAAGCAAATGACTAAGGAAGTAGTTAACAAAATACATCCATTCACTGATGTGAATCAATCAATCGATTTTATAACCAATGTTCAAGAAGAGAAAATGTTTATGATCTTTTCTGATGCTTTCGCACAAACAACTCTTCCCATTGTTCATGATATTTCACAGATCCATAGTATCTATGTTTGGAATGCAAACAAAGGTGGACATGATGATTGGGTCAATCAATAGCTAAAACTACAAAGAGTCTTTACATATATTACTTCTATCCGTGAAGATCTTCAAGAAGCGGCACAAGGACGTGATCAAAACATGATATGGATCAGTTTTGTCCCAACCACTAGTGAAAGCAGCAAGCCAAACCTCGACCAACTGGATTCATCGTTTCTGCACACGCAAATACTGAAGGAAATTTTATTAACCATCGATTTCAGACTACAACATGTCGATGAATTCACTACTTTTGTCGTCAATTATTTCGCCGTGAATCTGGGAGAACTGCAAAATATCTACAAACTTGAAGGTGAATACTACGAACATATTCCAATATGGTGGTAGTCATACAACTGTTTGATTTATTCAATGCTGAATCGATCATTACGCACAATTGCAGTCGATCTTATTATTAATATGAAATTTTTCATGGAAAGTCTCCATTACTACATCGTCCAACTTCATGCTGAAAAGTTTGTTGAAAAATCATCTTCCAGTTCATTTACTGTTTATCGTAGTGAAGGACGATCGAACGACAACTTGGACCAGTTGGTCAAAACCAAGGGTAGACTTTTATCATTTAATAACTTCTTATCGACTAGTATGCGCTGTCATCAGTAATGCATCTAGGTTTCATTTTTTGGGTGGGTGGTTGAAATTTTTGGAGGGGCTGCTGGCCAAAAAATAGTTTTATTATATAGCAAACGCACACTAAGATTCTTATTTATTTTTTTCATATATACCATTACACTGCTTCTGTTACCAATACAATATGAGAATACACTTTGAAAAGAAAACACATTGAGAGGAAAACAATAAATCTATCTTAAACCGAAATTTTCCGTAATTTTTTACTTTTCCAACAATCAATAATTATATTTTTTATATCATCATCTAAATCAGCTGGTCCTTCTCTTGATATTCGCATTAATTTTCTCAAATGTTCTGTTGTTAAGCGATTTCGTAAACCAGTTAATATTCTATTCATTGTACTAAAATCGCGCTCCACAGTTGCTGTACTAATTGGTGCACATGAAAATATTTCAGCAGCTAATGATAATAGTGGGTATATGTCTCTTATCATTCCTTTTGTGAAACTCACATATATTTTCGAAGAAAATAGTGAGTGAAAGTTTTAGGTTCAAGTTTTTGCGGCTCCCTCCTCCCCATTACAGACACATAGTTACGTAGGATTCTATTATAGACATAGCAACGTAGGCCCCCATTACAGACACCCACACCCCATGACAGACACCCCTTCCATTACAGACAGCCTTCCATTACAGACACTTCTCCATTACAGACAGGTCCCATTACAGACAAGCCTCCATTACAGACATCCCTTGCATTACAGCCTTTAGCAATTAAGACTAACAGACGTCAGATGTTCTAGTTTCTTTTGAAAAATTCATCAAGTTATAATTTTGAAAGATAATCAACATCATTGTTTTTGAGCTGATTAATATATATAATAGTGCGTAAGATCTTCTGTAGATATCATGAATATGTAAAACAGATTTATTTGCCAATTAATTCAATGATTATTATAATAAGAATGTTGAATTACGAAAAACGAATTAAAAAAAAGAAAGATAATGAGCGAATAACAACAATACAAAATAAAAATAGGACATTCTCAAACAAACAAAAATGTTCTGTTTTAAATGTAGAAATAAATAACAAAGTCTCGCTCTTCTCATTGATTATCGATGAAAACAACTACAGTGTACACGAGATTTTTCAGTTTACATATGATGCATTAGAATATTAAGATTTAAGGATATATGTGAGTTCCACATTTCAGCTCCAAAGGAGCTGCGCTAACCAGCTTTTTTAACTAAATTGATAAGACAATCATCAATATGACCGCTTTCGACTGAACATAATAAGAAGCTTCTTACGTAAGAAACGTAATAATGTCAATTAAAGACAAGAAAAAATAAGTCAATTAAAATTTATCAGCGTCAACAATAATAGGAAAAACATAGGAAGGACGCTTTTCGATTTTTTACGAAACCAACTGTATATTTTCGGGTGGGCGCGGCCCATCCGGCCCATCCAGTAGATGCATCACTGGCTGTCATATGTCCCTCAATTTTTTACGTAAAACTTTGGAACCGTGCGATCTTTTGTTAGTATATTATTCGTCATAAAAATTGATCCTTCCTTTTTGTCAACACCATTTGCTAACGTCAGTGAAATCGGTTATTTAACAGAAGAAGAAGAAATTCTCTTCTACACGCACTTCATCTTTCGTATTGGATCAATAGAACAAATTGATGGAAATAATCGTTTTAGCAAAGCCATTTAATATTGACTAGTGGCAACGATTCAGAACTACATCAGAAGAAATAGTGGCATCGTTTGAATAGTGTACTGATTACAAGAAGCTATTCAACAAAGCTCAAAAGATATGTAATAATATCCTGCTTCATCAAACCACAACTGAGCTTGAAAAATTATTCATTCACAACATGCTCGAACAGTTGAAGGAGGGTCTATGCGAATATGCCGATTCTATTGTTTATTGTCAACAATCAAATCAAATTCCCCAAAAGTTTGCTTCATCAACTGATGTCAATTTGGCTACTTCTTATAACAAAATTTGTTTGGTATATGGCAAAATGTGTGACTATTCGAATGCACTTTTATGTTTTGAACAGATTCTTCAAATATTAGAAAATTCACTAGCTGTAAATCATTCTAATATTCTAGTTTGCCGGAAGAACCTTGAATATGTAAAATTGAAGTTTTAATTGTCCTTTTTTGTGTCGTTCAAAGAAATAGACGAAACGAGGAGAAAAAAGTCTTTTTTGTTTTTGTTTTTTATTGGCAGAGATATGCTCATGCAAGTGCAAAAGAACTCTGACCTATTGATAACACAAAAGGAGCATGCCCACCGGTATGGTGACCAATATATATCCAAATTATGGGTATTATTTGTAAATAGAAGACGCTCAGATGCAGTGTGTATTTCAGTATTGCGAGTTTTTGTGTTTAACACAGTGCCATCTGGCAGACTGATAGAACACGAAATTTTTGGATTCTTGCAAGTAGTTGCTCTTTCTGTTTCAATGCAATACTTCATCGCGAGAAGAAAAGAAAAAAAAAGTGGAGAATAGTCATCGTTTGAATGCTTTACTTCTATCTATAGTTGAATTGCTGTTACATTTGAAATATAATGAGTGCCTCAACCATACATAGAAATGTTTTATTCAATTGATGAAAAAGAAGAATTATGGTTGAATAGTTTGAAAACGATGACTTTATATATATTGGAGAACATTTTTCTAATTTTGCGAGTGAAATTCCCAGCTGATAGGTTTCCTGATTCCTATGCAGACGAATATTCTCATTATTTAATTATTTAACATGAGAGAAAAAAGAATAATTAAGGAGTGAAGAAGAAAACCGCTCGTCGACTGGTATCATTTATATGACATGAATAATGAACGGATACGATGCTTGTGACTATGTTCATCACAAATAATTTCAATTTCGTCCTTGGGTATTGTTCGGTAGAACAATATTCGTTTGAGAATTAAAATAAAATAAGCTCAAATTCGATAATTAATATATCAACCCATTAAACAGTAAATATCGATGAGAAAAGTATAAAAGAATTAGTGTATTGATTCACCTTTTTTGTCTATGATTGAAACCGTAGAACTTCAAAATTGTATTTCAACGTCTTCTTTTATCTTCGAAATTTTCTTTTGGATAGAAGTGAAACTTGAGAGCTTTTTTCTCAATTTTATGTACGGCCTTATGAAAAATTTGAAAGCGACTATTTATTTTCTATAAGAAGTTTAATGCTCTATAGGAACATCTTTTCCAATAGATAATTCAAACCAAGGTAAATAGATGAAAATTCAACAAAGAAAAAATCTATTGAAAATATGTTTATGAGTATTGGTTCGTATGCCATCCATGTCTTCACTTTGTCAAATGTTGAAGCATGTATGCAGATCAACTATGACATGCAGAGAAACTTTACGAATATTATCTAATTAAAATAACTTTGTCAATTTCTAGCTTCAAAGTTGAAAAACATATCATGTTTTTCAAAAGATTTTTAGTCGTTCCTTCAAAAAAATTTCATTTAAGCCAGTGTTGAGTACAAGGGAGAACAAGCGGACTTCTGTACTTCTTGTACTTCTTCGTACTTTTTGGTACTTCTTTGTAATTCTTCGTACTTTTTCGTACTTCTTGGTACTTCTTCGTACTTCTTGACAAATATCAAGAACTCTGTTCCTAAAAAACAGAGCGTTTTTGTTCTGTTTTGGGAAAAAATCGAGGAAGAAAGCCCTTACTTCTCTATACTTCTTCGTACTTTTTGGTACTTCTTCGTACTTCTCTGTACTTCTCCGTACTTTTGTAGTTCGGAAGTGCAGAAGTCCGCTTGTTCCCCTTGGTTGAGTAACTAACAAGAGAACCTTCTCAAATATGTCTCTGAAATGCTATCTATATTTCAAAGATTTCTTAAGTATTTAGAAAAATTATTTGATATTTGTAATTTGTTGACAAAAGTTTTTCTATGAAAAACGTTCCAATCATATTGGTCACTATTCTATGTAATTCCTATTCACTGAATAGTTTTTCGTATGCTGAAAAACTTCATATCTCCAATTTCATTCTTATTAGTATTATTTTCCCCGTTCTTCTCTTACGATCCTGTATCTTTCAAGATATTTTGAATCTTTATTATTTGATGTGTTTTATTATCATATTAATGCACCATCAATCTTTGGTTTAGTCAGTATAACAATTGTCTGCAACAAAATTAACAAGCAACATTGACACAAAAAAATTAAAAAGAATTTTGTACAAGTGCACAACATTACAATAAATGATTTTTCTTCATGTCATCAACGTTGTGTAATAATGAACCGTACAAGAAGCAACAATTCGCCTATGATCAACGAAACAAACGACCGAAAAATATCCGTCAATATGCAATGTCAATAAGGCACAAACACTTAATTTCTTTTCTGTAAACATTTTCAACAACAACATAACTATTCATCATTGTGTATTGTCCAGTCATTGTTTGATTTTCTTTTGATATTTGTATAACGATTTGTACATATCATCAATCATATATTTATATGGCTACACTAGTTTCAATCGTCCACCTTCAAGCATCACTTGATGGTTCATTACTAGCTGAATCATAAACATCCGATTAAGAAATAAAATCAGAAAAATTAAACGAAGAAGGTTTATCTCCCTACATTCATAAATTAGACTTGGTTCTTTATTAAATTCATTTATTGTAATGAATGTAATCCAAAGTCCAGCAAAATGTGGTCTAGATGATGTTTCATCACGATTTGTTTTTTTTAATCTTGAACAAATATCTAAACCATATATAATTCTATTTGCAACTTGTTTTGACATCAAATATACGAATTTAAGTAGAAGAGTTTTCATCATTTTGCATATGATGAAGACTTGTATGGGAATTCATATATTTTAGTTGAACCAATTAGTGAAGATTAGTTTCATGATAGAATTCAAGCAAATATATCCGATATGAAATAATGCTTAGGATGTAGTTGGGTTACAGTGAGTGTGAGAGTGTAGTGTGAACGCTGCTCATTTTCCACACATATCCGACCTGCATCCACACACCCACACACTACAGGAAAGAGCAAATTAAACTTCCATTTCTTCTAAACTTATTCAACCAAGTCTTGCTTTTGATTAGGATCACTAAAGTGATTCAGACAATTTGTTATTCACTCAATTTTATTTGTATGCGTCGAATAATCCTCAATCAAATCCTACAAGGTCTTGAGAATTAAACAATAATGAACTCATTTGAATATCTTCGAAGCATAATTATGAGTTTGTATCTTTGCACTAGCAAACAAAAGCTTAACATCAGTCACTGTTTGTTTTCAGATTCACTCAAAAGGACTTGCAAAGAGTTATGAGTGAATCGATTATCATGGACAGGTCATTCTTGTTTAATGTGATTGATTAGAGCAGTGACAGTTGTTCTACAAAACCTATTGAATGATGTATTGGACAAAGAATGCATGTTTTTAAACATATGAAGAAAAGTTACTTCACTAGTTGATCAGATGGCATGTTACGAGAAAATTTTTTGAATTTGTCATATATATGCCAATCCATTCAACCGATCAATAATCTGTTTGTCTGACTAAATAACTAATAACTTATCATTTTCTATGCTGCAAGCTAACTATTAATCGTTCTCTCAATGACAATACTACCGAGAGCAGTTGAAACTTGTACTATATCAAACGTAATACAAGAATCATCATTATTGCAGCAATGACCGTATGTAGCATTAGTGTACCAAAATATAGATAATTTAAGCCAAAAGTAAATATTGATTCAGCATGTACCTTTTTCTGTTAAGAATGAAGTATGCCACGTACTCTTTAATATAAAAACGAAAATTCTCATTATTTCCATAATATATGGGTACATAAGTTACAGTGACATTTTTCTTTCTATTATAACATCGAAACATATTTACTTTAATCACAGGATTCTCGCCCTCACTCATTCACGCACTTATTTTATTCTCATAATATCTATTTGACAAATTTTTATTGGCTAATAATTGACTAATCATATTGAGACATTTTGATTAAGTGTTTTTCTCAATAAAAAAAAAGCATTTTCCGTAATTAAAGAAAATTTGATTGTTTAATAAATATTGTATTTGATTTTAATAATTTATTTTCAGGATTTTTGTTTGTTGTTCACAGTTCGTTGCTAGGATACATGCCTTTATTGAGGTTTGCCCAATAACTCAATCATGATATATGGAGTGTTGCAAAGAATAAGTTCTTTTTTTAATAATCCTCTTGATTTTTCAACGTTCATAAATTTTGCATTAATAAAAATTTGATTTATTTCATTTTTCTCGTGCATGATTTAAATCTTTAATATTTATTTTAATTTTAATTTTAAAGGAGTAAAAGAATCTTTTGATACTCATGGCTTTAATGAATTCAAATGCAATGATCAATCTCAATCGAATGACATTTTTAATGTCAATTTCAGAAATAACACCACAATTATTCTTATCAGGTTTGTTTCTAATGAAAATATTATCTTATATTGATTTTAAAAAATTTTTTCTTCAGGTCAAATGGCTGCAACTGTTGAACAAGTACAAAAATTAGGTATCACTTATATATTGGTAAGTATCTTTTTTCTTTTCAGAAGAAAAAAACGATAATTTTAAATTTTTTGTTTTTCGATTAAAAGAATGTTGCTGTTGAGTCTACTCCTATTGTTTATCCAAAACCTATCAAACTAGAAAAATTTGATATTATTGATTTTCCAACAGCTCCTATAAGTAATTATTTTAATATATTAACTGATAAAATTCATACTCATATTAATGCCAATAAACAAAATAAAGTACTTGTTCATTGCATGGCTGGTATTAGTCGAAGTAAATTAAACAATTAATTTTTTTGTTTTTGTTTTCTTTTTTTTAATATAAAACTCTTTTTGCTTAGGTGTAACCATTGTTTGTGCTTATTTAGCTCGTTATATGAATATGACTTTACGAGATGCATATTTATTATGTAAAAGACATCGGCCAATTTGTTTTCCAAATTTAGGTTTTTGGAACCAACTTATTTCATATGAATATCAAATAAAAAAGGAGAATAGTGTTAAAAGTAAGTTTGTCCTTAATGAATTTAATAATAGAATACATTTATTTGTTTTTCAACTATTAATACAAGGTTCTAGAATGATAGAAATCATTTAATTAGTGCATAATCAAATATGTTTAAAGACATAGATTTATATGCACATCATTGAACGTCAGATTATTTTAAATAATTTAGGCCATGTATGTCTAATAGCTGTGTTGTTGACAGTCTTATAATAAGATTTGTCAAATAAAGGAACCTGTAAGATATTAAATTTACTCCATTTTACTGTACTTCTTATCAGGATACTATGATATTCATAACTTTACTTCTGTAAACGTAAGTGAAATGAATTCAATTTCTCCTGAGTCGATCTATCAGAGATAAATTGGTTGCGAATTGAATTTTTAATGAATACTTCTATGAGTAGTCAATCGCGAAAAATACAAGTGTCTTAGAAAATTTTTTTCTGTAGAACTTGTTGCGTTAATCATTCTGGTAGAAAAATATATTCAAATTTAGTTAATAACTCATGGTGCTAAGGTCAAAATACTTATTGAATAAATTTGAATACTTTTTAACCAAAACGATCAGCACAACGAACTCTACAGAGTGGTAAGGACAAAAAAATCTTCCGACAATCTTGTGTTTTATTGCAATTGATTATCCATAAAAGTGAAACATCAAAAATACGATTGAAAAACATTTTGTCGTTGATAGTATGATTCAATATCTAAAAGATTATTTTTATAAGAAAATCTGCAATTTGATCTAGAAAATATAAAACTTTCAACTAGATGAAAAATTGGTATTTAACAAGATTATCATATGAGAGACTACATGACATACTGTTATCTTAATAATAAGATAATTCAATAAAGCTGTTGACAGCATGTTTTATAATAATAACTTAACGCATATGGCTTCAACAATTCGATAACATAAAGTCTTTAATTAATTTTATGCTTGACATCTTAGAATTTTTAATCTGACATAAATGTACACGATTTCTATCATCTCCTTCTATCCTTCTTTTTTGATTGAATCAATTTTTTTTTGATAACTTAATTTTCTTCTATTCAGTGATTCCAACACAATTCGGTCATGTTCCTGACGTTGCATTTGAAGAAATTAAACAAATGCGTAATCAACAACAACAACAACAACCAGCATCATTACCATTTTTTGCTCCAACATTTGTTTCAACACTTAATAATCCAAGTATTAGTAGTCCTACAACTAATGATACATTATTTTTATCATCGAATCAAGCTCGACCAACAGCTCGAGATGTATCTATAACAAATTCTACTGGTACAACACGATCTCGTTCATTAGCTTCGAATACAATAAATCGACCAACAATTATTTCAAATTCAACAAATATTAACAATTCAATTTATCAAACACCATCAATTACAACAAATAAACAATTATTTTCAATACCAACACGATATGGTAAAAGTCATTTAAATCCTTCAATGACAACATTAAATAGTTCTCTTCCATTAGGTCCAACTTCATCACAAAATTCCTATACTAGTACTCGTAGTTTACCAATTACTACGTCACCAAATATAAAACAACGTAATAATCATTCTCATCAACCAACAACTGTTACGAGTACTTTATCAAATTCAACAACAAATAATGAGCATCAACATTCACATTATGAAACAACATATCGATCTAGTTTTATTAAGCCATTAGTACCTTAATACGAACAAAAAACAGAAAAAAGAAATAAATATATATTTTTGTTTTATTATTATTTTTCTGATAATTTTTTGAATGATTTAAAAGAAAAGAATGGTATGCGCCTACTTTAACGTGACAAATATTTGTACTTTTTTTTCTTTCGTTTTTTTTTTTTGGCAACAATTATTTTCTTTAGGCGTCAGATGAGTGTCTTCTTCCGTTTGTTTTTGAATTGTTAATCTCGTTTATGTATCAAACTCGGTGCGTGTATTTAAAGAAGATTAAAAGAAAATATTATGAAACAATAAAATAATAATAATGATAATAATAAGAATAATCAAATTATATTTTCTTTTCTATTTTAGAATAAAACAAGTGTGTGTATGTGTATATATGTATAAAGTCTTCTAAATAGAATATGTTGGGTATTACAGAAGTTATTGACAATTTGTATATATCTGGTCTTGAGTCCCGTCAAGCGATATTAACTAAAGGTATTCGTTGTGTTATTAATATATCATCGGAATGTCCAATGCAAGATCTTGGTCCAACAGTTGAATATGAAAAAGTAAGCATACTTGATTTACCAACAACATCAATACAACCTTATTTTGATCGATTAACTGCTCGTATACATCAAAATTTACAACAAGGAAAAAAAACACTTGTTCATTGTTATGTTGGTAGATCAAGATCAGCAACTATTATTTTAGGTAAAGATACTCTTATTTAAATGATGTTTTGTTGGAATTAGTTTTTGAAAGACTTTTATACGATAGAATAAGAAATTTGCCCCAACCCCATTAAAGTTTATATAGTGGATTTGGTTTCTATGAATGATAAGAAACTGATATGGGTCATCAGTATGTGCATTCGAGACGTATACATGTTGAAAATTGGGTTAAAAATAGATGTTTTCTCTCCAGGACTGTTGTTGACTTAGAATACACTGCGGTTAAATGCGGGTTGCTTCATTCGAAAAAACAAACGCATATTAAAATCTGATAAGATCTTTTTCTCCGCTGTGAAATATATGGGTGACAGTGTGTTAAAAAATGACATCTCTACAATTAGCTCATGATAATGCGATCACTTTCTCTGCAACATCAAAACATAAATTTTTTACAGAGATGAAATTGATTCGAGTTTTTTAAAAAATTAAGTCGATTCGATTTCAGAAAAATCAGAATCGATTACATCTTAAATTCTTTAAATTTTCTCAGCAATTGCGTCAACATTTCCTCTGCAATATTTACTTGTTGAAAAAAGTTCGAAAATTATCGAAACGTACAATTTTTCGCATTTATCTGATACAAAACACTCTCCGTTCGGCTATTTTCCGGCTTGACTTCAACTATTTGTACGAAAAAAAAAATGCTTGAAAAGAAATTTCGATACTAAAACAGACTATAATAATATATGTTTTGACGAGAAATATATTTTTCTACAAGAATACGCCTGCAAATTACCTCAGTACTTTATTCAAAATTTTTTCCTGTGGTCTTTACGGGATGCGTTTTTTGTGGAAATTACTTTTCATCAAAACATATATTATTCTAGTCGATTTTTAATATTGAACTTGATTTTAATGCCGAAATTTCCAGCATTGTTTTTCGTATAAATGTCTGAAGTCAAGTTGGAAACTAGCCAAACGGAGAATGTTTTTTTATCAGATGAATGTGAAGAGTTTCACAATCGGATAATTTTCGACCTTTTTTCAACAAATAAATATTGTGGAGGAAATATTAGCGGAGCTTCTGAGAAAACTTTATCAATATCTTTTTTGATGCAGAGAAAAATCATGGTATTATCAAAGGGTAGCTGCAGTACCCATCATTATTACTTTTTGATCCATATATTTCGTAATGAAGAAAGAGAACTTATCAGGAGTTCAAATGCGTTTGTTTTTTTAGAATGAAGAAAGAGAACCTATCAGGAGTTCAAATGCGTTTGTTTTTTTAGAATGAAGAAAGATATACTTAACCACTGTATTCCATATTAAAGATATTGATGGAGAAAAAAAAGGTTCATTTGAAGCACAGTTTTTAATGTGCATATATCTCGAATATACAAGCTTGATGAGCCATATCGATTACCTATCATAAAAAGAAATCAAATTCACTGCATGTAAAAGATGCTATATATATTTAAGGGCCCCCTCCCCATTTCCTCGCCCAAAATTTTTGTTTTTTTCATTTTTGGTTTTTGTGGCCATTGTATAGTTTCAAGTAGTGTCTATCTACTGACTATATTTTGAAAAGCAACAATTGCCTTTAAAGATTAAAAAATTCGAGGAGAAATTAAATTTACATAGTGAAAATAGCTAAAATTTTATATTCTTTTATTTTTTTTCTCAAAATCAAATTTTTAGTAGGAAAAGTACTGTTTCGCCCCCGTTTCTCCGGCATAGTAAGAGAGATCGAGCTGAAGTTTTTTTTCACATATTCTACTCACCATTTGGGATGAGTATTTTTTTTCTTTTCAAGAATTATTGCTCTAGTGATTTTTGGCAGCTTTCACAAAATTTGCTAGAGGAATAAAAACAAGCGCTTTTTAGGGTAGGCTCAGTATTTCGACTTTTTTATTGAAACAACAAAAGATAAAAAGAAACTAAAAAAAATATGCACCCCAAATAGTGTCTACTATCCGTAAAAAAATTTTCAGCTCAATCGAACATACCGTCTTGGAGAAATGGGGGCGAAAACTAGGACCATTTTTCGACATTGTCACCCTATTATCTCATAGAAGACAGCATCAGGGAATTTTGAGTCTATGACAACTTTTACTGTACTCATCAAGATCTATCTGTCCCGAAAAATTTCAAATTTTTCTGATGAGCCGTTCTCAAGAAACTCCGGAAAGGGGGGAGGGGTACCCTTAAAGAACAGTTTAAGGGATGAGACAGATTTTGTATTCTATCGTGCGAACTTATTTTAACAACACAAACTGTTCTGAAAAATGAAATTACAGAAAAATCTTTTGTTTAATATACATTAATCTAGCTGAAGATAAAATTGAAATTTGTTTTGTTTCTTTGTGTTTCGAACGAAAGATTCAAACTTATTTCGTTTATAAATCCTTTTGATATTCAATTATTTAAATTCTTTTGTTTTTAGCCTATTTAATGAAATATAAACAAATGTCATTACGTGAAGCATTCCATTATTTACGTGCTCGTCGGCATATTATCGGACCAAATTTTGGTTTTATCAAACAAGTAACTATTAGAAATTCTTCTACACATACAAGAAAAATATTAATCTCTTGTTGTTATTTTGTTTTACTTAGTTAATTATGTATGAAAAATCTTTATTTGGTTATACATCCGTTTCATTTGTGAATACATCATTTGGTTCTGTACCTGATATTTATTTATCAATGCCAACATCACGTCCACTTCGACAACCGACAAGAACAATAATACCAAATCAAACAACAAATAATAATACATTAGGTAGAACATTATCATCACCAAAAGCAACACTAGGTAATTCATCACCAATACGTTCATCTTTTTTATATTCATCATCTCCAACATTATCATTACCACCACGTCAAAACTCAGTTTTTAATCGTTCAACAACAAGTGCATTACCTCCACGATCAACAACAACATTATCTAGTTATACAAATACTTATAATCATGCTGCTAATAGTAGTCATAATCGTCCGGTGAGTTCATCGACTGTATATCAAAATCATGCATCAACAACTGGAAATAATAATATAACAAATTCTTCAATAAATCGGCAACAACCTGAACAATCACGTATAAATTCCACATCAACAAAACCATTTGAATTAACTCGTGAATTTGTCATTCCAACTAAATTTAATGCATATCGAACAGTCAAATATGTTCCATCATCTTATAATCGTTATCATCTTCAGTAGGGCACAAAAAAAAAAGAAACCAATGGCAACAAAAACAAGCAAGCAAACAAAAAGAATGTTTTACTTTATTTTATTTTTTTATTTAGTTTTCTTATTTTCATTCTGCCAGATAACACAGCTATTCTTTATTATTCTTATCACTATAAAACAAGAAATGCTTAGTCTTTCGTTAATGAACACATACACACATATTCTTCTATTACACTTTTTTTTTATTATTTATTCTCGGGATGGTAATTTTGCATTGTACACGTTTGTTTCTCTTCACATCCGGTGTGTACTTTTGGTATTTTTTTTTCTTCCTTTGATTCTTTGCTATTGAATGATTCTGGTTATAATTGTTATTCTATTGAGAATGCTATATATTTTGTGCCAAAATACGATTTATTTTTATTTCTTCGTTTCTTTTTTTTTTTTTTTTGATGTATCGAATAACTACTTAATTTTTTTTTCTTGTTCTCAGTAGAAATAAAATCATGAATGATTCGACAAAAAAAAATCTAGCATATATGTTCGAGGTAAACATCATGTGTCTTGAGGGTGCACTCTGAGAACAGATGTCCTTTGCAGTTTTATCATAATTGAAGTAAAGTGAATAAACTTTGCTCCCGTCCAACACTAGACATGACTATCTGCTGACGATGACTCGTCATATTCATATATTTTTTTTTCTCTTCTTTACCTTGTTCTCTCCATATTCCATGATATAATACACTGAGTCATTTCAATCGCAGTACAGTCAACAAGCATGTATAGTATATAAACGTTGTCTATTATTTGATATTTACATTATATCTCGTAGATGAAAATTTAAAATTATTAATAAATTTGTGGTTAAAACAATGAAAAAAGAAGTATTAAATGAATTTGTAAAGATATGGCCTACGGTCATCGAAGCACGCACGCAATTACTATCGAGTACATTGCGCCGAGTAAGTCAACATTGATGCTATAATTTATAGGTAGTTGTTTATCTTTAGTTTTTCATTTTAAAGATATTTTAAATACATCAACAAATAGAAAAAAGAAAAACGAGATTGATATCATGTGTTTTGTTTGCTTTCTTACAAAGTTTTTTTTTCTTTTCACATCAACATTATAAAATGCTGATGTAAACAAGTAAAATGAATAGAAAATAATTTTTTATTTTTGTTTTTGTTTTTAAGCTATCAGTTTTACGTCGACGAGAAAGTCAACTTTCATCATCATTATCTTCTTCACTAAACAAAGTAGATTCCACAATGCAACAATGTTGGCTACCATGTGAAGCTGATTTATCTATTGAGACATCAGTATGCCAGAATACTTTACCACCGTGTGAATTCTGTTTTGAACCGTCAAATTCAGTTATTATGACGGATATATTTAATACTAATCGTGAAAGACAATGTAGTGAACCTGTTCTTGTGCCCGAGTCAACAACAGCATTAGCTGATGGTCAACAACAACCTCAACAACAATCACATTCATCTGGTTATCAGTCTACATTTGGTAATGAACTATCACCAACACAAAATTATTGGATATTAGGTAAATTATTGTCTTTTTTGTTGAATTTTAGTCTTTTCTAGCTCTCTTTACATTTAGGCATTAATGATTATGCATCATGTCAATCAACAACAAGTGATGATCTTTTCAATGATCAAGATCAGTGTCTATTTGATGATAATTCAACAAATACAACAACTAATGGTACTGATGAACAGGATATCGATGATGATAGTTTCGAAGTACTATCATTCGAAGCACCACCAGAGAGTTCTATTTATTTCAGAGGTATTTTTTTTCTACTCATTCATTTCTCGTAGAGACACGTGATAAAACGTAATTTCATAATTATGATGAAATTTTTTTATTTAGAATTTCAATATACAACATCACATAGTCAAAATAATGTTTGTGATTGTTGTAATAAATTATTCGCATCAGTATCAAATTTACCTCCACGTCGTTGTTATTACTATGGTAAATTATATTGTCCACGTTGTCATCTTATGGATTATGCATATATTCCAGCAAAAATAATTAAATCATTTGATATGCATCTTTATCCAGTATGTCGTCGAGCTAAATCAATTCTTCAATCAAATTTTTATCAACCAATATTTGATATACAAAATGATAATGAAAATTTATATGTATTACAACCGATATTATCCGATATACGTTCAAGTCGTATACAATTTCAACATTATTATGCATATTTATCAACGTGTACACGTATTGAAAATGAATTAAATGAAAAATTTTTAAAAGAATTTTATGCACGTGATTATCTTTATCAAAGTATACATTTATATTCATTAAATGATTTATTATCATTAAAAAAAATTTTACAAATACTTAATATAGCAAGTATACGCGCAAAACAACATATATATCAGTGTATGATTTGTCGTGAGAAAGGTTTTATTTGTGAAATATGTAAAAATCGAAAAGATATACTTTATCCATTTGATGATATCAAAACAATAGGACGATGTAATAATTGTTCAAATATATATCATAGAAAATGTTGGGATAATATTGATCATGATTGTCCAAAATGTTATCGTCTAATACAACGAAAACATGAACAAGATATTATATAAATATTGGTTTATTTTTATTTTTGCATTATTGTCGAATCTCGCTTGTTTCATGTAATTTTTCGTCCATTACATACAGAGGATCTCGTAAAGTTATCGAACAAAAAACAATTATTGAAATATCTTAAATCTAAACTTTTTTCTTCGTGTAATAGACGAGAATTTCAAGTTATTATTCTTATGAGATTAATTATTCTATGCAATATCGATGAAAAGATGTTCGGTTTTGAGAAATTTATATCTCACAGAGATTACATTTAATGATTGTTTTATTCTACGTATTAGTTAATCTAAAAGAAAGCTTTATGTAGATGAAATCTTAAGTGAAAGTTCAATGATAAGGTTATTTTCTTGTTTGAAAATATGCGGTCCTACTACCGAGCGAAGCAACGGAGTAGAACTTTTATCGTTTTTCAAATCTCAATAAGATTTGTTTTCAAAACTTGTTCTATTTTTGAAAATTTTCTAATTTTTGTTTGTTCTCTTTCAGTCTTTCTCGTTTGTTTTTTCAATTACTTCCAATTAAAATTCACAAAAAATTTACTTTTTCTTCATTTGATCTCAGGAAATAAAATTCCATATCTCTATTAGTACTTAATAACTGTAAGAAACCTTTTAGTAACTACTCTCTTTTAGTAGTATTCTACTACGAAACAATAAAATAGACATAAAAGTCGTTAATTATTTATAAGAATCTTCTTCTATAGGTAACTTTTATAGATAAGAAAGGAAAACTTAATTTTCTCTATTTTAGGCAAGATTGAAAGTTATAAACTTTACTTATAAATACTTGGAATTCTCTTCTCTATTACTAGAAGAAAATGAATTGATTTGCTTAAAATATAATGGAGATATTTGGAATATTATTTTTTTTTGTAGATATCCCATCGAATAAATTGTACATAAAACACGATTTATGTCAATGATTCTCTAGTTCTTTTGTAGATATTTTCTAAATCTATTGTTCAAATATATGTGCAATTGTTTGTTTTGCTTCACTAAATCAAAGAATAAAATATGAATGAAAATTTTATAAGAGACTCTAGTACTGATAGTAAAATTCATCGTACATGTGATATAAAAAAAAGTATTTCTTTTTACTCATTTAACTCTCCTAAAAGTCATAATTTGAGTGTACGTGTTATATTATCATACTTAGACCTATTAACCATCACATAAAAAATATCAGCCCTTTAATGTCTTGTGCATCGTTGGACTTTTTTTCCATTTCTTTCACATTAGTCACACAATAATTCGAATATAAATTCGAAATCGTACGCAAACAATTTTGCACAAGGAGTTTACATGTCAATATAATTTATATATCAATAATGAAATCCAATGTAGGGTAAAATTAGATTGGCTCACGATGATCTACAAAAGATCATGCTCTCTATTCAAGGGACGAACAGTCTAATGTTCGGGAACGTTTATTTCACACTGTAACAGAGTTCAAGGTCACAGGGAATATTGATATATGACTAATATGGAAGAAATGAAGAAAAATACAACAACGCATAAGACAGAAAAGATCGAAATTTCGCACGAAGTCTTAAATATATCTAAACGGTATAATAGAACAGTTGGACTCAAATTATTGTTTTTATAAAATCCGAGTGAAAAAAATATTTCTTGTGCCTCATGTATATTGTATTAATGAAAACGAAATCGTATCAGAGAAAATGCAAATATGTTGTATGTATTAATGAAATATATTGAAACGAGTATTTAGATTTCTTGCAAAAATATTTTGAAGTACTTTCTTAAATATCAAGATATAAAAATTTTAATCTCATACAAATTCAATATAGAATGCTGAACAAATTAAATGAACAAGAAAATCTGAATGACTTTGATATGCATTTCGAATCATTTATATTACGTTTATTAGATTGTTTTTATGTCTAAACACGAAAAACAAAAATATTTATTTAGTGTAAAAATATCTCAGACAAACGTAATTTTCGTATTACTCTAAATATTATCAATAGCATTTATAACACAATAGGAAAATGAAAATGACAGAATGTACACTTTAATCAAGTTATTTTGCAGATTGAGTGAATACAGTATACTGCATTGTGTGGTGTCTATTTTTAGCTTTTTGATTTTCTCCGCATTAATCACACGATGTAATTTATGCAAGCAAAAAATAGATATTGCGATCAAGACAATCTAAAAAACGCAAATATCATTTTTGACAATAACTAGCTTACGTGATTATTATTAAATCAGTTTGATCTGATCGTTTTTTTAACTAATTAATTTTATCGATCTAATTTATACACAATGTGTACTCTATTAATTCTAGAAGAAAAATTAAAAATGAGTAAATTATGCTCAAATCAAACATTCATTGACTGGACATTGATCTTAATCTTAACAATATTTAATTTTTGTACACGTGAATGATTTTTTTAACATTACTTGTGAATAACCGATTGTATTCATTGATATCATCCGACATCATATGTCTAATGTATTCTTGAACTAGAGTTTAAAATCTTTTTGAACAATATACTAATTTTTTTATTTATTGCAGGAAAATTCATTGATATTATTGAAATGAATAATTAATTTAGATTATATGTATTTTTTAATGAGAAAATCATCAAAGAATTAATGTTTGATCTAAAGCAACTTCAGTAAAATCCTGTATCAAAACTATAACTTGGGATATAATTGATTGTTTTATTGTTTGTTTTTAAAGATTGAACTATTTTGTTTTTACAAAATTTTTTTTTCTTGAAAATAATGTTATATATACTTCTGAAAAAAGGTAGTTTTAGTCGTTTTTTTCAAAAACCTTTTATCAACATAAAAATACATTTAAAACAAATAATCATGTATACTATGAAAGCGCTTGGAGGTTTTTATTACCCTGTATACTTATGCTTTACCTTATTCCTACTCGTAAAAAAATAAATCAACTGCAGTGATGGCACCGTCATCTAGGGATCTGCAAAAACGCTTTTTTAGTCCCTGTCCTGGTCATTTTTTTTCTCAGTCCCGGTCAAATTTTTTTTCCAGTCCCAATCTTTGAGAATGGCTTCATTTCTAAAATCGAGCAAATTTTTTTACGATCTGTGTACTTTTATGAATACATCAAATTGACATGAATGATTTTGATTCGTTAACAGTACGATAATTCTTTTATATCCAGTGTTAAAGCTACAGATATACGCATAGGCTACGGGCTTTTTCCCAGTCATAATTTATATTGAGTCGCCATTACTATTGCCAAAAGAAATAAACGGCGACACATATCTATTTACTATTATCTGATAAGACCCAAATAAAGGAATGATCAAAGAATGAACGAATTAAATTTATGTATATAGTGTTGTGTTGGTTGTTTTATATGTATTCAAAAACCTGTGCAATTGAAAAATTCGGATTCTTGCAAACAGACTCGTAATCAGTAAAGACTTTTATAGAAATAGCAAATAAAAATATCTGATTTATAGATCTTTAATCATGTCAAAATAATAAATGTGAAAATATATTGTATAAAAAATTGACCGGGACCAGTGTGAAGAGTTTTTTAGTCCCGGTCCTGGCCCTGATTCCGATCAAATAGTTTTTTCCATCCCGGTCTCGGCGGGGCCGGGACCACTTTGCAGTTCCCTACCGTCATCACCAGATTCTTATGAACTGAATTTTCTCAGTGCCTCCCCAATGAACTTTTTAAATTTATCATCATTATAGAAATAGTTATCTAAAAATAGCAATTATATATTCTGATAGAGCTTGAAATTCTTTATCATGTTAATATTGTTTTGCCATATCTTATATTTATATTCTGATGAGTAAGAAATATATAGGAGGCTAGAGAAATTTCAAGCACTATCGCAATATTTAATTATCTTTTTTTAGAAACGTATTTTGATACTGATGATAAGTTTTAAAAAGTTAAGTGAGGACACAGTAACACAATTCATAATGATGACGATGTCTTCCTTGCAGTTCATTTACTTTTCTATTCATATGCACTAGTTAAAACATAAATATACAGAATTGTAGAAAGTTCCGAGCGCTTTCATAATATATAATTATTTTTTCGCAGGATTATATATTAAAGAAAATCCTCTGTAAATCACGCTTTTGAATATCTTTATATAATTCTAGATGTTCATAAAGTAATCTTATAAAGCTAAAAAGAAAGACAACTGTAGATCTTTCGAAACATTATTAATTTACTATTCCATGACTGTGATAAAGAGTATTGATAGATATTTAATATAAAATTATCCTTATGCTAATGTTTACGGCCTAAGACTGAATTAGATTTTCAAAAACTTAGAATCATTCAAATCGTTTTAGCTATTTGAACGATATTTTACATTTCCATGAATTTTTGAGGCATTATGTATTTCCTGAAAAATGTATTCTGTTGATATATTAAAAGGAAGCTGCACTCGTGCCTATATACGGAACCTAAATGGACAAATGTGGGCATGAAAACTTGTACCCATGCAGTATTCTCAAAGAAAAACATTTGAAAAAATGGTAAAAGCGACTATGAAGTTGCAAATGAAACCAAATTCAAGTATTGACTGAAAACTGATAAAGATTTTGTGCAGTCGTTCTACATATTATTCATAGAAGCCTATCGATCGTGTACCAAGTTACTTGAAAAGAACTCTTTGCTAATTATTAATAAACAATATATTGTTTTCTACGAACAAAAATAAGTAATTTCATTTTTTTTTTCATTACTCCGAATTATTTATTTCTAAATACAAAAAAAGAAGAAAAACATCTACATACACACAACAATAAAATTTTTCTATTTCTGTTGTAAAACATGACTATATAATAAAAAAATCAAATATACATGAATGACTTTTATTTCGAATTATTTGGATTACAAAATATTGAATGAATATCAGCATCCATTGTTTGACACATTTGACTACAATATCTATAAAAAATAAATAAATTTAACTTAAATTTCATCTCATTATTTCTTACTTTATTTTCTTGCATTTAAGACAAATAAACTGTTCATCAGACGAATTTAATAATAATTGTGTACATGGGGCATTATGACATTCATATAGACTAGATCGATTTAATTTTGTACTATGATAATTGACTTCATCCATATCAACTGGTAAATAGGAAATAATTTTCCAATAAAAACTTGATAATGAATAAGATTTTAATGGTAAATAAACTATATTATTTGATATTAATAATAAATTTTCTAAACGATTATCCATAGTTATACCATTTTGATGATAAATAGAATAATTTTCAGAAATTGAATATTGATAAAAATATTCCCTATTCAAGAAAAAAAAAGAACAAACATCAATCTAAAAAACAAATATATTTTCTTACCAAATTAAATTATGTAATGGAATATCTTTTAATCCATTAGTTGCAATTACAATCAATTGATTATTAATATAATTAATCTATATTTAAAACAAGATGAAAATCTAATAGATTATTTTATGAAATGTATATCTTACTTTTAATTTATAAATGTTCAAAAGAGAAATAAAATATGTATCAATAAGACAATACTTAATCTAAATAAGAAACAAAATAAATAATCTTATTTCTGGAAAAAATATATCCTACTTTGCCAGCAAAAGATCCTAGTTTAATAATACTTGGAGTATTGAATGTAATCTCATCCATTTTTTTCTGTTTTTACATGCTAGTTTTTCTTTCTATCTGTAGACAGATGTTTGGCACCATTTAGTTTAATCATCAAATGTGAGAACGAGAAAAAAAAACGTCGCTTGATGCAGATAGTGGAGGTCATTTCTTCTTCTTCCTACTTTTTTTTCCTTCTTTCTGTCGAATGTTAAAAAAAAAGAAAAAGAAAAAGAAAAAGAACATTGAGCGAAGGTCAAACAGATGTGTTTGATGTTCTGATAAAATAACGTATCTATCTATTTCAGACACATCGTTATATGATATTATGCTTGCATATAAATTCAATTTGAAGATTTCGATTTTGAAAAAAAAAACTTGAGTGAGAAATGATAATAGTATAATAGTATGAAAGTTTGTGAGGTAGATAAAATTTTCAAGGTTAGTCTTGAAAATGGTTTCGACTAGAAGATGTTTGTTAAAACAACAAATGATAATATATCAGAACCGACACATGTACGCCATTTGGACGTTATTTTATTCTTTATATTTAACCTAAATCACCTTTTAAACTTTTTTAATGTTGTTTTTCTGACCTAACAATCTTAGACTGCAAAAAGTACATCCAATACTCGGTCCGCTGTTGAAGGATCTTTTAGTTTGTACAAAAATTTAGTTTTTAAACATATTGACAATTATGAATGTCAAGAAGGAAAACTATTAAGCTATATACAGATTGTATGATAGTGACCAATTGAAATACAAATGTTTATTCAATAACCTACTTGAATGTATTTTGTAGCTAGTGTATTGAGTCATATATGAAACGAACATAGACATCAAGCCGCAGTTCTATGATAACTGATAAAGTTGCTGTTGCAATGAAAATTCTATTAAGGATAGTCTTCTTCCTTTCGTAACTCAATTCTTTTTTTGTTTTTTTATGGTTATTGTATATTCTAATGTAGTAAGAATTTGTTGACTATCGAAAAATTGTTTTTAACAATTGAAAAAATTCAAAAACAAATCAAACTAGCGAAAACTATACATTATTTCACTTTTTCTTTTGTTTCATAAAAATTGTTCTGCTAACTTTTTGGTAGATTTTACAAAAAACACATGTGTGTTTTAGAGTACCTTTTGATACTTTGATTTTTTTATTCGAAGAAAAATAAAAATAAAAATCAACACACTGCAAAGAGTGTCTTGTCCATGTGCAAAAATTTTTCGTTCGATCGAATGTAGCATATCGGGAAAATGGGGGACGGAAATTAGCGTCACTTTTTTATATTGTTATCGCAGTATCTCATAAACGACAACATCTGAGAGCTTTGTGTCTGTGACAACTTTTCCACCGTTTATGAAAATCTACTTGCCCGAAAAATTTGAAAATTTTCTGATAAGCTGTTCTCCAGAAACCATAGACATACAGGAAGAGATTCTTAAACAGAAAAGTTTAGTATGAAGATTTTTATACATTTGTACAGTCTCAATCAGAAATGATCAAATATGTGAGAAACAAATAAAAATATAGCGATATAAAATGAATTAATATGTAACTTATAATTTTTCATTAATGAATTAACAACATGAATAAATTTCGTTTACCATACACTTTCTACAATCATAGTCATAGTCATTTCTTATAATAGAAGAAATAAATATAAATGACGTAGTAACGATAATTATAGAAGTCTGAAGAAAAGTATATGAGATAAAATATTTTCCTTTTATACAACAATTAACATGTATTAACGACATATATTAGTGGTGTAAAGGTTTATAGTCAAAAGTGGGAGGCACTTGAGTCTCTCAGATCTTCTGTGCAACCAATTTTTTGCAACAATTTAATAACTTTCCGTTGGCAAAATGATTCAGTCCTTCTTTGCTTCCCCGTGGCAATACCATTAATGATATGCCTTTCTTGATTTCTTTTTCTTTAAAATTACTATGATTCCTATTATTGAATATTGTAGATTTGTCGCATTGCTTTTTAATAAGTTTGCTTTAAAAATATATCAAAACATATAGCTAACTTTAGTTTATTGATTCGATTCTTATGAATAAATTTGTATACGCCTACATTTTCTTTGGTTTCTTTATTTGAGTCAATTGAAGCATGATTACAAAAGAAAACAAATAGTCATGCTCGATTACAAAACACATAATACAATGGTTCGAAGGTTAGAGATGCAATAAAAAAAAAGAATCACACTGTTTTTCTCTGATATTAGCGAAAAAAAGAGATTCAGACAGGAGACAATCCTACGCTGTCCTATCATGATACTATGATACATGAAAAAATTAGTTTTTGCTATACTTTATCAATCAGTACTCAATGAAAAATGTGAAAATAAAAAAACAAAATCATAATTTTGTTTTCTTCCACCTATCCAAGTAAACATGTATATCAATAGGGCAAAAAATATTATTTTCACCTTTATACGCTTTCGTACACATTTATAATATAAGTCGCCTGTATAAAAAAGACCACGCATGACATATTACATATAATATCCATCTTTTTTTACTATCGTCATAGAAAATAACAGAAGTAATAAAAAACAAAGAAGAAAAGAAAAATCTACCAATCAAGTAAGAAATTATTAACCGTCTATATGCAATCATCATCGAATACAAGACGAAATTCTACTATTAGTAGTGAACTAAAAAGTACAAATCAAAATAATGATGATATTCTAGCACCACCTCCATCGTATACAAGTGTTATTTATAAATTAGAAAATCCATCATACCAACATGATAACAATTTTGTACCATTACCACCAAGTTATACCGGCGTAGATAATCCAAATGTTGTCTATATTAATAATTATCCTGGACCACCATTAGAAGATGGTATTATAGAAATAAATTCTTCTAATCCGGTTGTGATTAATCAATCTATGATGACAGCATTTTCTCTATCAAAAAGAATGCAAACTTATTTTAATATTAATGGTATATTAATGATATTATTTGGTATTATAACAGGTGGTCTACAGATTGGATTAATAATATCACATTCAATTGTCTTTTACTATTATGGTTTTTGGGCTGGTGCCCTTATTATTTGTCTTGGCATATGTACAATTATATTTAATCGTCGTTCTGAGCGATGTAATATAGTGAAATATTTTCACTCTTATGTATGGCAAACTATATTTATTGCTGTTGTACTTGGTTTTGGTATTATTATTATAGCAGTAGATAAATGTGATGATAATTTATCAGTCGATAATACTAATAATGTTGCATGTAAACGTTCATATAAACTACTTAATGGTTTATTATTAGGTTTCATTGCATTAGCATTCGCACAATCGGTTATAAACACAATTATTTTGAATCTTATGAGAAAACGACGCATGAGGATTTAAAATACGGTTTTTTACAAAAAAGAAAAGTTTTGGCTCTTTTTTTTTAACGTTATATATAATTATCAAATCTATCAAGAAAAAAAAAGTTGACTTCTAAGCTTAAAAAACAAACACAATGAAATTTAGTCGTTTCATTATCATTGAAAATCGTTCAGTTGTTCTATTAGTAATTTCAGAATTATAAAAGATAATCAAGTGATTGATCTAAGTGGTCTAGTTTATTATTCAGTGATAGGATATTGACAATATAACAGGTGATACAAAAATTCTTGGAAAAATATCACTTCGTTTTGCATCGGCTAAAACATGTTTCGGAACAATCAACAATATCTATTCAAGGTCTACATTGAAAGCCCTTGTAAAGTTTTATCATGCTTTATCTTTGAGTAATGAGCATGTATTCAAATAAACCTAAAATGTAGTCTCTAAAAAGCAATCCACAATCATTATAGTAGAAGAACCAAATCTTTAACTGTTGGACGTCAGGACCTGTATACGCACGTTTTGAGCTTTACTCAGGTTACGATTACAATTTTTTCATCTTTTGATACGAGAACTCCCTTTCTCTCGTGTTCCTGATATCACAGTACCATCTTACAGTGCCATTGTGCATGTAAACATCTTCTTTCTCTAGCGTTCTGTTGACATATATCCATTATTACGTATTTCGTCTATATATATTCAGACGTTTTTCTCTCTTTATTTTTTCTCGTAGTTCCTTTCGTTGAAGTACGTTTTTTTGTTTCTCAAGTATATTCTGATAAGTTCTCTCATTATCTTGATCAGGTATATATAAATCTATCGCTTTTGAAAAGAAGTGTCTAGCGTATCTGGATGAATGTTCTCTGAACTTTTGCGACACATATTTTCGAAGTTCAAATGGATTCTTATTATCTAATATGTTTCTTGATTGTAATGCTAGGCTTTATGTTGTAAATTGTAATGTAAAATATCATACTCTAAAATATTTTTAATACTTTTCAACGATGATAAAGTCTTTTTCAGAAGTTATTTGAAGATAATTTATTTTATCATTTCCTGAAATGATTTCGAAGCCAAAGAGTCAAACAACGTTGTATTTTTTCACACGGATTTTGATGACAAAGCTTAATGAAGAAAATATAGAAAAAATATTGAATGAACGCATAGAATACGTTTGAAAAATACGCTAATATGGATTTTTTCTAACTTAGTGATCATGAATTACTTTTTATAAACTTATTTAATGATGTAGTCGTTATTCAAAGACACAACATCATGTAATTAAAAAAATGAGTTTTTAAAGTAGATTCTTTAGTGATATTCTTGATTTTTTAAAACATGTTTTAACTGATAAAAACTAAAGCAACATTTTTCTCAGAAAACTGTTGCAGTACTAGTTAGTTTAATCTATGGACATTAGGTAACACAAATATTTATTTGAACTTAATCTGGATTAATATTTGCAAAGTAGTTTTAATTTTAGTATAGAAATGTTTTTATTAATTAAGAAAGTGACAGTGGTATTAAGCAAATTTCAAGAATACAAAAAAAGTGAATCGTAACTAATCTCATGCATCTAAATCGGAGTTAATGTAAATGGCAAAAAACTTCGAAAACTTTATTTCATTCTCTTCTTATGCAACATTTATCTTAGACGATTGTAACGTCCAGTAAACGAAAACTGTTAATTTAATAGCTTAGTTACCATGAAATAAAAAAGAAAATATCTACTACAGTAAATAAACTTATTATAGTGAAAGAAAAAAGATCAGTACCATTCAATATCTCTACTTTCGTCACTAGATTTATTTCCATCATCTTCACACGATCTTAAATTACATAGTGTAGACAGGCATGTATGTTGTCGCTAATTAACGGGAAAATTTTTTTTCGATCCTTGGAGTTTTTAGGAGTGATAATCGAAGCTAAAAAGCGTGTAACATCGGACGTCTATAATTATAATTTTATCTGCTTGTCTAATGACATTTATGGTTGATAACTAGAAGTAATGTCAAATTTCTTCTCTGTAATGTTACAAGAGATTTTAATTATTCTGAAAAACTTCAATACCATTGTTGGTTTCTTATCATTGCTAATGTTTTTAATTTTTTTCATAAAAATATACATAGATACAACGAATGACTACATCAATATATTTGATACTTTAACCCTTTCGAGACGATGTGATTCTACAGGGTTTCCAAAAATGTTTTTCCAAAGATAACAGCTCAAATGCAAAGATATACACAAGTGATTTTTATATCAAATGAAAGCCCGTTAAAAACGGGAGTTAAGAGTATAACTGATAATTCATAGGATGATAATAAGCTATAGAATCACGGGCAGTTCCAAAAATGTTAGGGATGTAACTAGTGTGCTTCCATGGATAGTCATCCATAAAAACAAAAAATTCTCAGAAAATGTCTTCGTCTATCAGACTTTATGGAGCTATCTGCGTTGATCATTTTGATAAAAAAATATTCTAAATTTGACCAATAATTGACGATGCTATGATTAAAATACTGAAAAACGTTATAGCTCTAGCACATAGAGCAGCTTGAAATTTTTCAGTATTTTGACCATAGCACCGTCATTTATTGGTCAAACTTAGAATATTTTTTTATCAAAATGATCAGCGCAGATAGGTTCACAAAGTCTGATAGACGAAGACATTTTCCAAGAACTTTTTGTTTTTATGGATGACTGACCACTGTAAATTATAGCGTCGCCCACCGGTGGATGACATCGCCTCGAAAGGGTTAATATACTTGAATGTTTTATTTTTTTGGATGTCTACTCAAAATAGAATTATAGAAATTATCATTCGTATAAATGTAATAATTCCAAGATTGAAAAATAAACACTATATTTTCATTGAAATATGTTCGTGATAGTTTTTTTTTTGTTTAATCAAATCTATATTTGTTTTTTAAATTATTTATTTTAGAATTTTCCTTTTTTTTTTCTTAACACTAAATCAAACAATCGATAAAATTTTTTTTTGCAGAATTTATTTTTCTGTCGGTGACAGTTTTCGATCTTTTCACATTCATACATTTATAAGATTTTTCTCGACATAATATATTATAATCAGTCGTAACAATATTAAAATTAGATAATCTATTTTTAAAATTCTTCATATTTAAGACATACTACGAAAAGAAATTTATTTTCCTGATAAACTTCTTCGAATATTCATATTAAGCAGCTAAAATGATGAATGACAACATTCTGTTAGAAATTGATGGCCTGCAGGTGTTATAAGGTTGATGTTTAGTTAAATGATAATGATGGTTGATTGCGTTCTGAAGGCGAGATTACAAGTAGCTGTTTCTCTATCAGAGATATTGCTTAGCAGACTTGTATATCATAGAGGATTACTGATGATGACATCATTGTTGGCTCTTCACGTTGTTTAATAATATAAAAGTTTACAAAAACAGAAATGTCATAGTTTGACGAATCCTTCAAGTTTTTTTTTTACTGGTAAGCAAAGAGAATAGTTAGTATGTTGCTTTTTTTTTCTTTTATTCATTTGTTAATATTCTTTAGAAAATATAAAAGAAATTATTTTTATGACACCCAACCTGCTTTTTTTCTTCCTTTTAATTTTTTTTTTGCGTGGAAAGTGGAAACAGTCAACTAACTATAGCATTTCCTTTTCATTGTGTTAAAAAAAACACATAAATACTGAAAGAAATATTCACATATGGTGAAACCTAATTTTTTGAAAGTGACTATTAAATTAAGGTATTCAATTTCAGTACTTTAATAAGAATTGATTGCTAAATGATTAGTATATCTCACTAGAAAATGTTTTCACTGGTTAATTGCTTTTGAATTCGAAATCTGACAAAAAAGGTAGACTTCAGTGAGCTATTAGAAAAAAACCTTAAAAGAATAAGTCTTCTTAAGCTTTGTGTTCAAAGTTAGAAGGATTTTCCTGAAATCGTAAACTTCAGGCATGGTATATAGCAACAAACCAAATGATGATATTTCCATCTGAGAGTCTGTCTACAGATGAGAACAACAGAAAATTCTAGTCTCTTCCATGGAATATGAGTGGCTTCTTTTAGGACTTTAATATCTAGGAAAGAAAATAGTCTTTTGAGCTAAAACTTCCAAGAATTTCTACTAACGGATAGTTCTGTCTATGAGCAACATCTTGGATTGAACTATTGTCGTTTGATTTGTTGGTATATACTATGCCCGATGCTAAAATTCAAGTGAAATGTCTATTAATTTGGACAGAAAAACTAAACAGACATTATCCTTTTAAAGTTTTTCATAGTCTACTAGAATTAACATTATGCATAGAGTTCGACTTCGCAAGCAATTAATGAGTAAAAAACGATCTCATCAATTTATTCTTCTAATGAAAATCGAAAAGATATACGGAATAGGATGCAGAAGGAAATTGATTAAATCACAATGTTACTCAATTGATAAAGTAAATTACAAAAGAATCCCGTATGAAAAACTGAGATACATACATGGTCAAAACTTGTAGAAATGTTATGCTAGAATTTAAAAGCTGATAAAAATCTGGCTAGATATCTAACAGTAAAATTTATAGAAAATTAATTGTAAAGATAAAGAAAGCAGACTGTAAACGCAGTACATCGATGAACAAAAAGAAACCATAAAGCGCTCGAGAAAATCGAAAATTTTTCAACATCGATAAATCATCCTTGTTGATTCTAAAAGAAAGTAATCTTGGAATGGAATATCAATCAAATATTGAAATTTCATCTATACCTATATATATATTACTCTCGTTTATGTAATTTGTGAAATGCATCTAGAGATATAATATGACACCTATAACAGTAACGATGACTGCATTTAGTATTACTTTTTTTTCTTTCGGCAGTGTCGACGTTTAAAAATTTGTGAAGATTTCTGGAAAATTTTCTTAGCTATAAGAAACTGAAGCAAAAAGAAATAAGAAGAAAAAACAATGTATAGGAAAATAGTACATATAAGATTGTGAAAGAGCATCTCTGAAAAATAATCCTTGTTATCGAAACTAATTAAAATTCTGGCACATATTTTTGTCTCGTAGAGATGTTGCTTGAGCCGATTAATTCACGTATTTAAATAGATCAATGTTAGTTTATTTTTCTTTTCTTTTCTTTTCTGTGTCATATTTTTTCCTTTTTTTTATTGTCAAGTGCTTTTTTCTTTTATATACTGAACATCATTCATCATTCTACTTTTTTTTTTCCATTTATGAAGTGAGTTGTTTTCATTTATAATTGACAATAAAAGATGTTTAATAAGTTTGATTATTAGAGTTTCCGTTTAGAAAGAAAAAGAACAAGAATGCCTGAAGAATCGTAAGCTTTATTATGTGAAATTAATTGTTTTGTAAATATTTCGTTTTGAAAGTATCAAAGTTGCTGTTCGTGTTCGTCCATTTAGTCAAAGGTAAAGAACAATACAGAAAATTTTAAAGAAAAAAAATTAGTTTGTTTTCTTGATTTAAAACTAACAGAGAAAAAGATCGGAGTGCAAAACTTGTCATTAAAATGCAAGGAAAATCAACGTTTATTATTGATCCAAAAGCACCACGTAAGTTTTCTATTTATATCTGTAATAATTATAAACTTTTTTAAAAACGTTTTCTTAGAAGATGAACCGAAACAAGTAAGTACATTATAACTAAATAAAATTCTGAAAAAAAACATTCTGTTGCTTTTTTTTTTATAGTTTTCATTCGACCATTCATATTGGTGAATTAAAAAAATATTTTTTAGACAAAAGAAATAAAAACAAAAAAATGAATATTTTAATAGGTCGCATGATGGTTTTGTTGAACATCCGTCTGGAATACTTGAAGCTGATAATTCATTATCGCCATATGCTTCTCAACAAAAGGTTTTTGATGATCTTGGTCGTGATGTTTTAAAAAATGCATTTGATGGTAAAAATAAAAAATTGAAATTAATGTATAAAAACCATTTGTTTCGTTTTCGTAGGCTTTAATTGTACATTATTTGCATATGGTCAAACAGGTTCTGGAAAAAGTTATTCAATAATTGGTTATGGTGCTAATCGGTATGGGTTTTTATTTTCTTAGTTTTTTTTATTATATTATTTCTTCCAAAAATTAATTCATTTTTTTTAGTGGAATTGTTCCAATTGTATGTGATGAATTATTTCGTGAAATGCAAAATAAGAAAGATTCATCGACTGTATGTATTTATTGCTATTTTAAAATTCATAACTGGATTATTGAATTTTAAATTAATAGTTTTAGGATAATTTGTTAAACTTTTATTGTTATAAGTAAATAGAATCTTATGTGACTCGTTTATATGAATTAAAGTTAATCTCTGATCAAACTTCACGCAATGTATTTATATTGAATGCATAGCTTAAGATGTAATAGTTGAAGCAGAAAAAGGAAAAGAACATATTCATTAATTTCTGAAGTATACTGTTTTAGACAGATGTTAACATAATAAGTCAATTATGATTTCAATAGACTATGATGACATAGAAAATCAAAGAGTCGTTCCTTTAAGTTTCTGTTATTAACTTGATATACTGTGTGTCTTTTTTTAAAAACTATTTATATTATTTATTAAAATGAAGAGGACTGTTCTTTTTGAAGAGAAAAACTGTCAGTTCGATTCTTCACTTGACGAACATGGGTTAGTAACTAGTTTTTTTTTTTCAGTCAAGAAGTGTAACCGTCACTATCTTTTTTTTTATGTCTAGTTGTTCTGAAAATATGTCAAATGAGATACTACTTAGAATAATTATATATACATATACGTATATGTAAATCATGAGGTTTTAAGAGATTTAACATTCTGAAGTAGTAAGTTATCCGTATAAAAAGAATAAATAATCGTTTAAAGAAAATGAGTCTATTCAAAGTTAGCACCTTTTAAACAAAAAAATAGTAATTATTCTAAAAGGATTCGTTTTTTTTTGTTGTTTTGATTTTTAGCGTTACGAGGTTTCTTTTTCTATGATGGAAATTTACAATGAACAAGTTCGAGATTTATCAACAAAAGAATTTCCTAAAGGAGGTAGATATTCTAAATATTTAATAGAATTAATGGATCTTTATTTAACATATAGGCCTTTCTGTTCGTCAACATCCAACATCGGGTTATTTTTATCCACAAGGTCTTCGTATTTTACCTGTTGGTAGTTATAATGATATTGATCGTCGTATTGCTGAAGGTACAGAAAATCGAACAATAGCTGCAACAAATATGAATGCAACAAGTAGTCGTGCACATACAGTTGTTACTATATATTTTGATCAAATTATTAAAACTGATCGTGGTGAAACAAAAAAAACAAGTGTTATTAATCTTGTGGATTTAGCTGGTAGAAAGAAAACTTTCTTATTTTTTATAATAAAATAAAATTAAATATCTTGTTTTTTCGTTAATTTATTTAAGGATCTGAAAGAGTTTCTACTACAGGAGCAATTGGAGATAGATTAAAAGAAAGTACAAATATTAATAAATCATTATCAACACTAGGTAATGTTATATCAGCATTAGCTGATATATCATCAGGAACAAAACGAAAAGTTGTTGTACCATATCGTGAATCCATATTAACAAAATTACTTCAAAATGCTCTTGGTGGAAATAGTAAAACAGTTATGATAGCTGCTTTATCACCAGCTGATGTTAATTATGATGAAACATTAAGTACATTACGTTTTGCTGATCGTGTTAAACGTATTAAAAATACAGCTGTAGTTAATGAAAATCCAATTGAAAAATTAATTCGTGAATTAAAAGTATGTTTGAAGAAAAAAAAAATTTTTTTTCAAGTTCGTACTTTATTTTTAAGGAAGAAAATGAACGTTTAAAATTACTAATTGATACAGGTAAATATAATTTACAATTAGATATTCTACCTGGTATGACTGGTCAAGATATTGAATTAATGAGAAAACATATGGAAGAAGAAATTGTTTCACAAATACAAGCTAATCAACAAATGTTACAAAACTCGAAGACATCTTGGGACTTAAAGGTAATTTAAATTAGATACCTAATTCTTCTATTAATATATCAAAGCTATTCGACACTCATAAATGGATATACAGAATGTTTTCAACATCACACTACACTGCTACATAAGCAGTAAGCAGTGAATACTTTCATTCTAATAACTAATGTTACAAATATGCTATATTTATGCACATATGTAACTAATGATATACTAATTAATGCTTTAGATCGCATTTCTATCTCTCTTGTTATCTATAAAAACATTTTTATGCAACCAGAATATACCTATGGCGTAGTCATAGAAGACCTTGTTTAAAAGAATATCCTTGTAATTCCTTTGAAATATAATTAATTTTCAACTGTTCAAAGTTATTGAAATTTTAGCTGAAGTATTAACGTGTCTATCTCTTATGAGATTTCATTGGCACTAAGTAGTTCATGTGACATTCTGTTGACCTAGAAAAAAATCTAAGATATTTTCATTATTAATGCCATTCTCTTAATTAAATATTATCTAAACATAAATTACTATTGATCAAAAAAGTTATCTTAAAGAAAGAAAATGATAATAGCTCATTGAATAATTATATATAAATTAAATTCAAAATAAACTTAAAAAGCATTCTATTTGATAACATTAATGAATAGTTCTAATTTGTTGAAAACATTAGAGAAAATTGAGAATGCTAAAGATAACTCCTCGTAGAGAACCATAATTAATAACGTCATTAGAAAGAGCAAATTGCATTGTACTCAAAAACCTCAAAAATTATTGTAGACTATTCTATTGAGAACAATTCAATTGAATATACTATTACATTTATGAATTGTTATAATAATATGAAAATTTTGAATCAATAATGATTCATCATGAGGAAATATTTACCTAGACAATGACGTCAACAATGAAAATATTTCTAGATATTATTTTATATTTTTTAAATTTCAGCAAAGACCAACAAGCTACACGTTTAAGTTCGAATCAAAATTAACTTTAACAATAAAACATGAATTATATTGCAAAAGCATAAAAGATTTCGTTGTAAGAAATTATTCCTATAATTACGCGTTGAGTATGTTCCGATATTTTTAAAAGATATTTTAGTTCAGATAGTACAAGACAAGTGAAATAAAAAGCATTAATTAGTATGTCAGTCGTTGCATACGTGCGTAATAATAATATTTTTCCATCATTAGTTATCTACATGAAAACGCTTATTGCTCATTATTTGTGTAGTGATGTCGTACTCTCTGTTTTCAGTTGAAAATAACATAAAAATGGATCAGAACTACTGCAATATTTTCTTTTTATTATGTTTTTCTAGTTGAGTGATCAAATAAGAATAAGTAACACAAAACATACTTTAATCTTGCAACTATTCTGATTTCAATATTCAAATTAATAAAAATAAAATATATCGTAATACTGAATATATGTAGTAAAAAAAAACAATGAACATCTTTTAATATTCATATTTTTATATCATAATGTGTTGGTTAGATACAATTGCTAATAGATTTTATTTATCTTAGAGCACGAATGACTACCGATCATTTGAACATTTTTTTTATACCTTGTCTACTTTGAGAATTCTATCTACAACTCGTTCTTGATTGATAATTACAATAGACTGTCCTATATTACAATTTAAATTGACAGTATATAATATTCGTATGTTGTAAGATGACTATTGTCAATTCAAACTCATAAGCTATTCTATATTACAAACATCGATCTAATCATCATATTTGCTATCCTGGTCGTCACTTGTTCTTCATGTTTCATTTTATGGGTACGGAACGAAATTACAAGCTGCTAGACTGATTGAGTTCTCAATACACCGTCCAAAACATTAACAAGACCTACGTTGAATAGCGTTGTCAAAACCAAATGTGCTCCAGTTGAGTATGGATCAACAACAGACATACTCCACTAACGTTCGTAGGGTTCAAAATTTTCCAGACGGAAAGGTAGACTAGCACAAATTCAGGATTATCGGACGAGCTCTACATCGCACCCCCCATAAAAATCATTTCTGTTACTTATTTTACTTATCTTAATTAGTGGACAAGTCAGGTCCTAATTAGAGATGATCGCACTTTGAACTTGGTTTTTTTTTCAACATAAGCCAAATCCGGAAAAACCTAGCTTAAGGTATAACCTTTGAAAAAGTAGTGTGTAACAACGAACATATATTTTTATCCTTTAATATGAAATGAAGTTACATACGAGAGCAAACAGTCACATAACAATCTAAGTTTCTTTCTTAATAAATGCTTAAGAAAAGTATAACTAAATTATTCGGATAAAATACAATCATGTCTTGTTGTTTATTCATATATGCGTATTCTATTCAATCCTATTTTATTTTTCTATTAAGCTTAAAAATGCTCAATTGAATGAGAAAAAATCTTTGAATCGATTCGATAAAAAAGTTCCATATCTTGCTAATTTAAATGAAGATCCAATGTTATCCTATGTTATATTACATTATTTTAATACTGATGAAATAACAATTGGTAATCGAAATTCCACAATATGTCTTAATGGTTTAAATATTCTTGAACGACATGCTATTATTCGATCTATAGATCCATATAAATATGAACTAACAGCAGCTGAGCCTGGTTCAAAAATCAAAGTTAATGGATATAATTTAAATGGGTAAATGAAATGAAATAATTTCATTTTGAACTTAATCGATTATCTATTATTTATTATTATTGTGTTTAGATCAACACAACTTCGACATAAAGATCGAATTTTATTCGGTGCAAATCATGTTTATGTATATTTAAATCCATTAAATGAAAAAGAAGCTTCACCAGATTTACCATCGATAATAACATGGGAATTTGCACAAAAAGAAATTGCTAAAGCAAAAGGTTATTCCTTAGGAAATAATTTAACTATTGAACAAGAAGAAATTCAAGAAAAAATTTTAAGTCTATTACCATTATTATCAGAAGTCAATGCTATAAGTGAAGAACTTAATAAATATCGTACATTTGAAATTGTTCTTATGCCAATATCATCATGGGAAGGTATAACAACTAGAGGATCAAGGTAAAATGAAAAAAAATCAAATGCAATATTGCTTGAATTTGTTTGTTTTTTTTAATTACAATTTTATTTGCAGAGTAATGATTAAAATGAGAAACCTTCTTAATCAAAATATTTGGTATTGGGATGATGCAAAATTTATTAATCGAAGTTTTATTATTAAAGTAAAAATTTATGAATCTTCTTCTTTTTTCTTTTATTTGAAGAAAATCATTCTTCTTTTCGTTTTGTTTTAGGAACATTATCAAAAATTTTTAGATGGAGACGAAGAAATTTTGTATATTTCAAAAGATGATGATCCGTAAGAAAAAAAAAACATCAAACAATATGTAATAAATAGAGAAAGTTTTTTTTTCATAGATTTTGGGAACCTGTAGAAGATATTTTACTTGGTACAGCTAATGTTTTTCTTCAAAGTTTAGCTTATTCACTTGATTTTGCTGATGAAGTTTGCATTGTTGATTATAAAGTAAGTATTCATATGGAGAGACAACGAAGATTCTTTTGGTCTACGAAGTTTTCACAAATATTTTATGTGCCTATTGACGATCTAATTATAAGGGTAACAAGTTCATAAAACTCGTGTATCTTGTCATAGGAACGCTCTTAACGAAGAAAAGAAGCATTTATTTTGGTTAAAACTCGCAGATATTTTAGCGAAAGAAACTTCCCCAACTGATGAATCATTTTTAAGTAGAGACTATGTCTATTATACAGACACAAATGAGCTATGGATACCCTGTAAAGACTTCGTACTTTTAGCTGATTGCTGCGGAGATAATCTAATTTTACAATTTTTTTTAAAATAAATGCCGTGATAAAGAAAAATCAAACTATGCTTAGAGAAAAACCTTAATGAGAGGAGCGTTAGCATGAAATGTTCAAGTCTTTTGATTTGCTTCTATCCTGAAATAAGTACATTAAATCTGCTGATTTATATGATTTATTTAAAAGACACACTATTTCTACAGCTATATCTTAGAATAAGAACAGTAACCAGATCTAAAACATCCACAATAAACTATTATTGTTAAGACCTATCTCTATGCAAAGTTCTAAATCAAAATTCGAAAATTAATTTTTTCTGATGTTCGTGAGGGAAACCAAGGCATTTATTATAAAAAATACCATGACAACGTAGTATAGCTGTAGCAATAAGATAATGGCATTAACCATCTTAAACGTATTCATTCATGACTCATTTGAGTCTACATAATTCGTATAGACACGACCCAAAAGCGATTTATCAGTTGAAGGACGTCTTTCACAAGAACTTAGTAACAGAGTTGTTATTTTTGGTTAGCAGGTCTTAAACAGGTATTTCTCAGGAGTTTTCTTAGTATTATTACATGGAATTATGATTTATCAGAATATAGAGTAGTTCACACATAAGTCATAAAAGTTTTATCAATATGAATTCCTTTTTTAATGAAACAAGGAATAAAAGTAATATCTATTAAAAGAAATCGCATTAGTCAAAATCCTCTTAGACTTTTTTTTAAAATAAAGTAGCCCGTATATACGCAAAATATAATAGAAAATCATGTGGATAAGTTGGGTACTATTTTTTATTAGATCAAATTATTTCGAAATCCTTGTTTGTTGTTATCTACGATAATCTAAATTACATATGAATGGATTAATGATGATTAGAGATATTGTGGTACAGGAGAATCATAATAATTTTCAAAAATAAAATATATAAATGCAAATAATATAGATTACACAATGAGTAGTGATATGCATTTTTTTTCAAAATAGTAAAATAAATACTTTGAATGCTAAAATCATTTATTAACCAAGTAGCCGAAGAAAATTGAATGTTATTTGCTATATGATTATTTTTAATTTTAAAGTAAATCGACAGAGTATTATCTATAAAAGGACTCGAATGGCTTGTTCATGAGAAGACTTTGTCATATTTTTCTTACTTTAAAAGAAACTGTTTTTTTTTCTTTTAGTTTCTGTAAACTTATGAGATTGTTTTTCAGTCTAAACGATTTATTTTAAAACTATGTCAGTTCTTCTAAGCTCTCTCTATTATCATTATTCTTAATCTAAAATAATTAAAACTTAAATGACATTGATCTTTGCACTGATAGAAATGTTGTTGGTATGTCTGCATATCATCTCGAACCAATTTATATAAAAAAAAACCTGATTAATCGATTTAAATAATACCTTTTCATCTGATTAGTCTTCTTTTTATTTTTAACTTTTTCATTCCAGAATCAAGCGAATGAATAATATTAAACGACTGATTGTAGAATAGTTAATATACAAAGATTCTTTTTTTTTCATATTGTTGGAAAAATTTGTCTTTAACAGAAAATATTATTCTACAAAAGTTTAGAAAACAATCTTAACATTAGATGAAAATATAATATACATTTATATTTGAATTCTATATTTGTCGATGATACAAATGACTTTCGTATTTTATGAATTTTCTTTGACAAAAACAAATAACAAAAAACAGCATTTGATTGTTTTTATTGAATTCTTTTATATTTTTAAGGGACTAGAACAAGGTCGTTTAAGTATAAATCTTTGTCCATGTTTACCAAGTGGTAAAGTATTAAATAATGAGCAATTTGTTGAACAACCTGAAGAACTTCTTAATAAACCATATAGTTTTAAAGTAAATATTTATCTTTTTTTATCTTTTAATTAAAAGAAATAAAGAAGTCATATTATAGATAACTATGCGTTTTATTGAAATAAATGATGAACGTAATAATAAAGGTCTTCGTATACGTTATAAAGTTTTTAATGAATCAGAATTTACTGAAACAAAAATTATTTGTCGAAATACTGTATGTGCTAATGTTAAACAAACACGTATTATCACCATACCAAGTGTTGATGAAGTAATCTTTAAATTTAGTATCGTTTTTCAAATTTTTTATTTTGTTTTTTTTTTTTTGTTTAAATAGGATTGGTTAAGATTTTTTCAAGATGGTTGTATTATATTTCAAATATTTGCTGTACAAGAAGAAAGCAAACCAAATACTGGTTTATTTAAAATGACAACTCGAGTAATGAAAAAGTGAACTGTATCGATGATGAGATGTTCAGCAAGATCGAACTTCAAAAACAAAAACCGGTTTTCTAGAGATTCTATAAAGTCGCGAAACACAAATTTTTTGTCTGATCATCATCCAAGGATTTTCAAAAAGAAATTGTATCGTTTGAGATCGGTTTTGAACTTGTCATTCCGTCACAGGAGTTTTTTTTTGTTTGTATATTCGCATTCAATCACGCCGATAATACGAGGTTTTTTTACTGATAATTTATTTAAACAAGGATCTTTAGCCTTTGTTTTTTTCATAGCATCTAGAGTAAAAATAAAAATTTCTTTTTTTCTTTTTAAGGATTTAAAAAAAATGGAACAAAAACAAGATAATACAAATCTAATGCCAGTAAGTCATGTCAATTCAACTTTACCAGGTGATTCAAAATTAAAGTCTGAATTAACACTTCTACAAAGAAAATTTCATCGTCTTGAACAAAAAGAAAAACGTATTCAAGTAATAAAATCAAAAAAAAAATCGAGGAAACAAAATTCTTAACAAATGTTTTGTTTTTCTTTGTCTTTACATTTCTTTTAGCAATTATGTCAAGAATGGGAAAATAATCATGATTATAATAAATTTTATAAATTAATTTCAGCTATTGCATTTAGTTCAGGAACAAAATTAAAAGCAACATCAACAGTTGTAAGTTGATTTTGTAATAAATAATTTCTTGTATATATGTCTCAAAGAAATATAATTGTGCTTATATTATATAAACACTCTACTCATAGATATTAAGTGTTAATCAATTAATTCGAAATATACATGCGGTATTTTATTTTTGTCTTAGAACAGAAAACAAAACTTTAAATAGAAATGCACATTAATAGCACTCTTAATATGCACATTTTATTTTATCACTAATACACATGCACATTAGAAAAAATAAACATAGGCGAAATATTTTTTATCTTAGGCAAATAAAGAAAATAATGTCGATGTTTATTTATTTGGAACGGAAGAACAAGAATATCTCAAAGATATCGAACAAGCAAATGGAGATAAACAAAAACATGTAAGTAGATAAGAAATAATATTTTTCTTATAAGTTTAATAGTAATAGACAAAAATTTAAGAGGAACAGTTTTTACGATACCAAACATCTAAACTTAAGTGAAAATAGTGATTGAAATAGTTAATGAACTTCTCTATCAAAGGCATCGTATATTAAATTTTCATAGATGGACTATAAGAAGAAAGATTCTGAAAGATCAGATATGATGGTTTTCAGATCTCAGAAAACTATGTACAAAATAGTTATGAGCGGTAATATTTTAAAGAGCATAAAAATTGAAATAAAATGAGGGATCACTGCATTGTCTACGAGTTTCCATCATAAAAATATAACAATCGTTCGAAATAAAAAAAAATACAATTTATCGAAAAATTGCTGAAAACTGTATTCTTTTGTTGCCTGTATCTTTTGAGAGGAAGATCGTAAAAAACGCGGTAACCCCTCATTTGGTTTAAAATTTAATGCTCTTTACAATGATACTATAAACATTAAATTTTCAAGAAAATTTCTAGAGCTTAAAAATTGTCGTATGAGATGTTGTAGAAACTTTCTTCTGATAACCCATCTATAAAAAGTTTGGTATAGAATTCATTTGATAGAGAGCTTCGTTAACTATTCAAATTATTATTTCGATTTGAGTTTAAATATTTTGTATCGTAGAAAGTAATGAAAAATATATTAGTCTGATATTTTTGACTAGTACATTATTTGAGAATCTTTTTTTTCCCTATAGAAATTACATATTCTAAATTTTTAAGAAGAGACAAGTATAAAACCAAGATGTTCTTGTTTCTAGTTGATTCGTGACTAAAATTTAAGACAGAACATAGTTTAGGATTATTCAAGCAGACTAGTATCTAATAGGAAGGTGTATGACACTGTTAAGAATCAAAATTTTTCTGTTTTCTTTTTCTATCAATATTGTTTTATGTACAACAATAAGAATTCACTTATATTTCTTTAGTGGGACGAATATTATCGAAAAAATGTGCTACAACAGAAACGTAGTTCAATAACAAACCGTATAAATACACAACGACAATCACCTACTCATCGTATACCATTAACACCTAGTAGTCTTGGTATTTCAACAGTAACTACTGATGGACAAAATCATAATAGTCAACAATTGCATAATGGCTTTTCATCGGCACCTTTTTCGAATACTAATCTAACATCACTTCACAAGAAAATATATCAAGAAACTGGAAATGATAATATTGATCAATTAAATGGAAATAATCTTCCTAGGACAAACTCAAAATCAACTTTGAAATCTATTAATACTAAAAATACAACAAAACACGAAACATTTAATACTGAAAAAAATTCAACAATGTGTACCATTCAATAGAAATTAATATATAATAAATCGAACACATCTAAATAATTTGTTTTAAGAAAATTATGCACTCTAAAGCACATTCAGCTTATTCTTCTTTTATGGTTGCTCTTCTTGTGTTATATTGATATATTAATTTATATTATTTAAAATTAATTATAAGACAAAAGAAATATTTATATTCACTTAATATATTTTAGGAAGATTGGAACGATTCATTGGATGAAAGTTTTTTTTCCAAATAAACAACTGCATAATGACAATAAATGTATATATAATTATTTTTTTTTTTAATCAAGTATATTTGTTTTATTATTTATATGTACAGTTATTGAACAGTTGATTTTTATTCAATATTAATATTTTTTTTTCCTCTTTCATTTCTTTTCACAAGTAATAATAAAAAAAAATATTGTTGAAACATTTATATTATCATCATAACATCATTAATATTAAAATAAGATATTTAAAATTACTAATAAATTGTACATACAAAGCAGATATGTTCATTAAGTTTTTGGCTTACGAGAAAATTATCCAACATGTCTATTCTTGTTTTGTCTTATTCATACTTGATTCGATAGAATATATGAAGATAAGAAAAACTCTGAAAGGATCTGACCCATGGCATACTGACAAAGAGTTATACTAAGTTTAATGAGATTTCTACTGAGAACCAAACATTTCGAAAAAAAATGAAAGGCTCTGATTTGAAATTTTGCTCACAGATAGATTGAATAATCCAGAAAGTTAAAATGAAAATATTACATGTCTTTCTCAAGATATTTTATTACTAAATAAAGTTGATCAAAGATGAAACCAGTCTGTTGTTGTGACGACCGATGCCGATATCGATTCTATCTTTGCTATGGGTTATTGTATCCTCCTATGTTAAACAGCACTGTTTTGTGAAACTGAATAGCTTGAGAAAGACGTGCTCGTTTTCATTGAACTTTTTAGGACTACAAGAAATATGTATAAATAAAAGTATCTATTATTCTACAAGAAAGAAAACGGGTTGATCGATGTTGTTTCTACTTATCAATGATGAATCACAACTGTCCTTCGTGTTGATCAGATAATAATATGATATATAAGAAATAATTTTGATCTATTTATTATTTTGTCATTTAAGTCAAATTAATAATCTAATGTTGGAGATAATAATTATCCTATTATATACATTTTCATTTGGAGATATAAACTACTATTATTTATGTATTATTATTGATCGTTTTAATAATATATTTTCTCCGGGAACTCGATATCGAATGTCAAGGCCACTGTATTTTCTATCGTTTCTAATAAAACATTCGCTATTAATAAAAGAGGTCAAACATATTCATCATATTTCTTCTTATTATTTTGTTATAAATTATCATTATAGACATAGTGGCAACTGTAATAAATTAGTGAAAGAATTCTATATCTAAAATTATATTCTTTTTGTCATAAATATCAATAGAACAATGAATCGATGTTTTCTTATGAAAATATTCATCATAATAGAATACAATAAGATAAATAGCTTTAGCATATATATCTTATATATTGGATATATTTTTAACGTGTGATTATTCTCTTTTTTGTGTTGTTGATGATATCTGCAGACACGTCGAGAGACGAATGCAACTAAGATCATCTATCTTCCAAAAAAATATCGACGTAGTCGTTATTGTTGTTGTTGCCCTTATGAATCTTTGTATGACATGACTTTCAAAAGCAGAGAAAAAATACTATGCGAATACTAACATAGACGATTATTATTTAGAATATTGAAGAAGGATAGACCACAGATGGTCGTAGGAAGACAACAATGAGTTACATCGTTCTATCTTCATCAATATCATTATATTGTAGTGTATTCTGATAATTGCTTGGGTTTTTCTAAGACATCGCATATGTGTTCTACGAGACAGGATGCAGAAAAAGAAAAATGATTGAGGGATATTTGACGCTGATGCGAGGAAAAGACAAGCTTTTGCTACTACTACTGCTGCTGTTTTTGTTGTTATTTCTGTTAGTTACCAACTTATCTCGATAGGCAAGTTTGTTGTTTAGATGAGAAAATACGTCGTCGTCTTTGATCAGAAGAGAGGAAAGTTCAAATACATATATCTAGAATAGACTCGTCCTCGGTTCTGCAAAATAGAATACTACAAAAGAAGAATAGATAGACAACGCGAGAAGAGAAAAAAAAAGGGGACGTTTTATAGTTATTTGGATTCTTTGTATTCATTGCAAGACTCTAGGCTCAAGACAACGGATAATGGCGGGAACACAAATGATCAGAGTTACACTTCAACGTGATAGTTTACAAACTCCATGGGGTTTTCGTTTACAAGGAGGTGCAGATTTTTGCGTGCCCTTTACTGTTAACAAAGTAAGTGAAAATCTTCTTTAGTTTTTCGACATTTTCTGTTAATATAATACTAATATTATTATATAGATCACTGCTGGTAGTCCTGCTGATGGTATTCTTCATCGTGGTGATGTTATTCTTGAAATCGATCAAAAACAAATTAGTTCGATGCCTCATGTTGATGCACTTGAACTTGTACAACGAGCTGGTGGTCAAATAACATTTCTTATTGAAAGGTTTCATTGAATAACAAATGAGAAAAAAATTTATTGCTTTTGATTAATACTTGTTTATTTTTGTTCTGTTTGATTATTATTTTCTAGAGGATCAAGTCCTCTTGGATCAATTATGAATAATCAACGCCCAATGTCAGCTATGCCTTGGTCTTTAGTAAATGCTACTTCATATTTAAATAAGAATTTTCATTTACCTTGGTCTACACCAGTTGCTCCTCAAAGTCCTACGGTAAACTAAATTACAAAAACAAAATCTATGCCAAATATATCGATTATATTTATTTTATTTAGGCATTTTTTCGAAGTCGAGGAATGGAACGAATACCTGATCCTAAGCCAATACTTAGTCAAACAGGTAGTCCTCTTATGCCAGGTCCAGTTCCGTCGGTATCAACTAAAACTCGTGGTTATACTAAACCACCTGTTTTTCATACCGAGCCAACTCACTTATCCAATACATCACCACTTCCGGCTTCATATTCTCCTGTTCGTTTTACTTATCCAAGTACAACAAATAATGGTCATTATCCAACCGTATCAGCAGCAGCATATCAACCTGCTTGGAAAGATTCATTAGGTCATGAATCTAATCGTTATGTACCTTCTTATCAAAAGAAGGTTGCAGTAAATACAATAATTCAAAAACAAAATCCAACTAGTCAAAAACCTCAACGTATCCATCAACAATATACAACAATAGCAAGATCACCACAACCTTATCGACCAGCATCAGTACAGCCAATAGGTCTTGTAAATCGTCAATATAATTCACCAATATCACTTTATTCAAATGGTAATGTTCAAGATATTATGAAAGATCATGTTAGTCATATCACTCGTGTCAGGTAAATACAAATATAATAAAACAGTAGAAAAAAAAATAAGTCTATATTCTGCACTTATGAGATCATATCTAATATTTTCTTCCAGTCATATGAATCAGAGTGGCTTTGTGACTGATTTTTAATACAAGGTTCTATTTAATGCCTAAAGAAATTCAATATATATATATATATTTATACTTAGAGGAACATGCTTAATTCATTATTGCTTGAAACAGTTTTGTTTGTTTTTTTTCTACTAATATGCTTAGAAAAAAGAAAAAAAAAATACGCCGTTCAAGTATCTACCTATAGATGTATATGCATGTTAACTTAAATTGTTATTGAGTTAAATAATAAAAAAACAACGAGAAAAAAATTAATTATTTTTTTGTTCATATTTCACTTTTTATTTTAGTATTATCCCATCGATGCCTAAACAATCACATGGTAATTATGTAATTGGAATATCACCATCACATGATACATATACAACAGCAAGTACACCTATTTGCTATGTTAAACCAAAACAAAGTGCTTATGCATCAGACTTTTAATATTAAGTGATGAATTGTGTATTATGATTTAATATTTAACGAAAACAGAATGAAATATTTCAATTGTAGAATTAGTCTAAATTAAAGTTTTTCATTTCTTTTTTCTCTATTTCTTTTTCATTTTTGACCCATGGATTACTTTTTTATTCTTTATATATTTTATTATTATCCTTCGATTGGGTTGAAACATCGAGTATATTTTACCGAGTGACCTTAACAATTTTTTGTTGTCGATTTTGTATTTCATGTGTGCTTCACAGTAATAATTGAACAAGTTTTGTCCATTGTTTTTTTTTGCACAGAATATGTTTTATTCATTAGTACATCAGAATAAGTTCATATTCATATCATGAAAAATTCGAAGAAAACAATCTTGATTTTTCAATGTAACAATCATGTTATTAAACAAGTATAGTTCTATCGACATAAGGATAGTTGTAATATTCATAAAGATAATTTATCATGAATGAATGGTCTATGCTCTAAAAACACCATAGAAAACTAGAACTAAACAATGATCTTAATTATGTGTATATATAATGATCAAGTGAATATTTGTATGAAAGAATCTGTCATTCCATGTCTCATTGTCTTATCATGATAATCAACATTTCAACAATAAATATTCGTCTTACATATCGAATGATCTCTTAATGAAGTCTTTTTTTTTTCTTTCATACGAAGCAATTTTATTATATCATTAATATGTATAAATATAGCAAACATTTGATCGATATTTAATGATATTAAGAACAATTAATTTAAGATAATTTACAGAATAAATTTATTTTAACCATTGTTTTTCTTTAGTGTATTTTATATTGTATTTTAATAGATATTCATTATGATACCAGTAATAGCGACCATTGTATTATTATTTCAATTTTTTATGTGAATCATCATTTATATGTGGTAGTTATATTCTATATAGAATATTACGGATTTGTTTTCTTGCTCTATTTAGTACATTAACAATATAAAAACTAACAAAATAGTTGTCTAAACGAACAAATTATAAGGAACGTTGAAATATTAATAGACAATTATCACTAATATTTTTATTACATTGTATTCAGTTGTTGTTGCAAATCTACTGATGAGTTTTTTTGTATCTTTTCAATTTATCAATATAAAAAATTTGATCATCATCTTAAAAAAGAAAATATTTTTTTGTAGAAACACCATCATCATAAACATTATAGTTTTTATTAATAAAATATTATGATATTTTTTCATATATTATAACGTTAAATATGTAATGCCTAGATGCACGTACCCGTCAAAATAAAAAAATAAATCATCGACTCTTCCCAACACATAAATCAATCATATCTATTCTTTTATATAAAATTTTCACTCATCCAATACATTATCAAATAAACAAATGCTTTAGAGTGCAGCAACGACAGCTTCAATTATTAATGATTCGAATCGCTTACTTGATAAGAAAATAATACCTTTGTAATTGGAGTAAATAAACATATTATGAAATAAATAGCTAAGATATTCTATGCTGAAGAATATCTCGTCTTGTTTTCAGTCATATGGACTTAACACTATTAAACTAGACCAAGGACAAAATAATAATAAATGAAGATCAAATACTTGTTGTAAATCTTAATATTATCGATAAGATAAATATTCAGCAAGTCGTAAGGACAGCTTTCGACAAATGAAGAACAATCTATATCGTATTTCATATTTGAGTTTAGTCTCCGATTCAGATCTGTCGAAGAATTTTATTTCGCTTTTAATGTAGTCAAATTTTTCAGATCTTAATTAGATGCGGAGCCAAGACCAGACTCAGTCCATTGTAAGATTTTTCGAAGGCTATGTTAAAGTAATCCGTTGTGTTTGTATGGGATCGTCCAAACCCGCCATGAACTGACAATACTGACTTCGCTACTACTAGTAATATTGAAAACCTGTCAAGTAAAGATTAATCTCATGTATCTGATATTAATGTACATAGTTATGATTTAATGAGGAAACATATTGAATCTATCTTTGAAAAATAAAATAATGAATTAATTATTTATAGAATAAGTAGTTAAGATTAAATTCCTATTTTCAATGCAAGTCCGTATTCCCCACGTGTATTTTATATAATTCAATTAATTCTTAGATCAATTCAATTAGGTCATTTCTTATCAATAGACTTTTAGCTCATGACATGGAAAAAAAACAGGTAAACAAACGCCTCACAAGCTTCATGTCATTTTAAGGATAAAGTAGAGATACAAAATCTATTCATCGTTGACAGTGTTACTAATCGAAACAAACGATCTGTTGAAAAACTCTGTAAAGTGAAGAAAAAAAAACCATGTCAATAAACAATTCTGTCTTTCAATCATCATAATCTGGATATATAGAAGATAAGACATTTGATACTTTTATCGTGTAGTATATTATTGTGCTTTATGTTTTGCGTCAAAAGAGGTTTTGTCAGATTCTGTATTGTGGCCTGGATATCGTTTGTTTTTTTACAATACTTATCTATATATGTCAAATCAGTAATAGTGTCTGTCGCAAACTATATTTCCGTTAACACCATTGGATGTCATGAGTACTTGACCGAACGTAGAATGTCGACGACAATAAATTTTCTTTTTGAGTAGACATCATAATAAAAAGCGTTTAGACTAAACTTATCAAATAGAAACATTTAGTAAAGTGCACTTCTACTCACATTTTGACAGGAGCTAAAAAAAAACTAGCTGCTTTGCTTTCCGATTAGATTTTATCTTCTTAGATCTAATGTACAAGATGATCCAAGAGTTCCTGCAATAATTTCATATAAATATTTCTTATACATTTCGAACGAATTAGTGGCTTTTCTTTTTATAATATGATAGTATATTCTTTTGAGTTTTATTTCATATAATTTGGTTTACGACGAATGTTTAAATTGATTATAATTAAACTCATATTTTTTGATATCCGTAAAAAACAATACAGTAGAAAGTTTTATTTTGTGTATTAATTTATTTCCGTTATTATGTCTTAGTTTTACTTTTATTTATCAATAAACCATTTAAATGAAAATAGATTTCGTCCAACAAAAAGAAACACGAATTCTTCTGATTTTTTATGTCAAAATTTAAGAACTTTAACTCAATCTTGTGAATACTTTTCATCAAGGTATTGGACAAATTGCACCTAGCATCCCTTCATCGAACGATATGAAGTTATAATTCAGCCTCCTACTATTTGTGATATGAGACAGGAGATTGCAATAATTTGAACACTCGATAACGACACATTTTCATCATCATAATGAACTTCGTCAATTTTCTTTTGTGTGATTTTTTATGGTCTTTCAAATTTACAACTATACTAATTTTGCAAAAGCATTCCTAGTACAATCTATGCTTGATGCCGGTAGTTCAAATTTAATTTGTATTTTGCTTTCACAAAGATATGTGACTTAACAAATTTAGCCTTTAACAAAACTTCAAAGAATATAAGCTGCTTGACCTATTGAAGCACTATTTACATCAACTTTCCGCACAAACTTTTGTGACTGCCCTGTCTATGTAAGAAAAACGTTTATATAAATTTTCTAATAGAGCGAATTTATATATATCTATCAGCATGCATTGATATTATTAAAAATCTAAAACTTATCGACATCTACAAAATAGATGTCGTTCATATGAGTAAATCAATCGTAAAAAAGTGACAAAAAATTTTCTCTAGTAATCAATGACGAATAATTATATTCTTCAATTAGTTTTTTACAAAATCGAAAGAAAAATTTCCAGCTTAATTATTCAAACATACATCCTAATCGAGTCAAAGAGTCCGAGTTCTAACATGGCACTAGCATACAGTGACAACATATGATAATAAAAAAAAAAAAGAAAAGAAACTTTCTAACGGTAACAACAATACCATTCTATTGACATCTTTTTCAATATCTATATAATAATAATAAAAAAGAAAGGAAAAGAAATTCAAGAATATTATTAATTTACAATCAACAAAAAAAAAAAGATTTCGTCTCTTCTATCATCAATTTCATATTCTGGTCTTTATTCAATATCTACAAAAAAAAGAATGTATTGAACAATAAACTAAAATTGTTTTTGTTTTCATTCACTAGATTTTTTTTTTCTGTTATTTTCTTCAATGTTTTGTGTGTTTTGTTATTTCAGACATCAGTCTTTGTGCTCGTTCTACCTACTGCTACATTTATTCGTGTGTGCAGTTCTTGTTCGATTTTCATTCCTACATATATAAATATTAGCGTGTGTTCGCTTCAACTTCCCCTTTTGTGCATTAATTACATTAACAAAATAAATTTATTATTACATATATATACACACACATTATGTAAGTATTTTATCAATAAAAACAATCTTCAACAGCAATCAAAGATGCAAATAAAATAATTTCATTTGATAAGATTCGTTTTATTTTTTTTTAATCATAGTTCATATAAAAAAATGACAACAAGAAATTTGGATAATGAGTATGATTCATCTCGTATCGGTCAACTATCATCATCATCACCAACACGTGATAGTGGTTATAATGAACATACAAATCATGGTCAAGTTGAAAATGGTTATACAATTGATATACATGATAGTCAAAATATAAATTTATCACAAACAGGTTATTCACAAGGTAGTGGGAGTGGTGGTACAGGTACATCGACTGGATCAAAACCTGAAGATGAAAGAAAATTATTTGTTGGTATGTGTTTTAGAAATTTTTTTAGTACAATGAATATTCTTTTGTTTTTGATTGTAGGTGGTTTAACTTGGGATACAACACAAGAAGATTTACGTGGATATTTTTCTAGTTTTGGTAATGTTCTTGATTGTTCAATTAAACATGATCCATCAACAGGACGTAGTCGTGGTTTTGCTTTTCTTGTATTCGATTCAAAAGATATTGTTGAAAAAATACTTTCACAAAATGATCATTTTGTTAATGGACGAAGAGTTGATCCTAAACCAGCTCATCGTCGTTTAAATACAACAACAACAAAC